CGTCTTACTCCTCCTTTCCCCCTCGAACTATTAAATACCCCTCAGTTGTCTCGGACCGCCTTCACCCATATCACGGGGTTTAGGTTTATTTCTTTATGTTGAATTTTGGGTCTGTTCATGATCTATCCGGCACAGGAATGCCTTCCTGAGGTTTCCCTGGTCAAAGCTAGTTGCACTGAAGCATGATAACCTCATTTTCCTATAGTTGGGTACAGCAGAAAATATAACAGAAATTCGATGAAAGTATCCCCAATATCTTCCCAGGCTTGGGAGATGCATTTCAGTGCATTTCCAGTGGTTTTGCACGATTTCCGAGGCAAAACCACCCATTTTGATGGCCCACTGCCAAGTTGAGGAAGGACCCAATCTCATAACTTACCCAATATCAGGTATTTCGGAAATCCCTCTTGGCAATTGACTCCTTTTCATAAAAGAAGCACTTTGGCAAGAGGGAATAGTTTTGTGATTTTCTGTGTATTTCCCACAAATCCTGTTCACCAGAAGCGGTGACTAAGTGGACTGCACCATAGGCCCAAAAGAGTGCAACTCCCGAAGTGTCTTGATCAAGAGCCCACATGTATGTCGTGAAACTTGAAATAACCATCTTTTGGGAGGTTACAGTGATAAGACCGCCACTCCTTCACTGCGCTTGCGCTCGTCGCTCAATGTCAGAAAAATCAGAAAAGCATGATATTGCTATACAATGCCAGATAATGCACTGATAAGTCAATCAGGTTTGAGGAGAGTTATCAGGTTCAGAAATGATTGAAAGCGCATATAAGCCTCCGTCAGGCTGATCAGGCCTGACGGGGGTTACAAGCCATTATAAGGCATGATAAGCCCGGATAAGGCCATGGGTCCCAGAAATGAGAAAAGGAGGAGCCACTCACACCACACGATGGTCATCGACACTACTATATAAGACGTCACTTTAATACAGGTACTTCTTCCGTGAGATCTACGGTCCTGTGGCGGGGGAGCCACAGTCCATTACAGTCCCAGTTCCCACGCCATTTGGGACCCCGGCCTCTCCATTCCCCGTCCATCCCGGCCTGCTGGAGGGCCAGATACACGCCTCCCGTGCTTCAAATATTGTACATACTTGCAAATATAATCTATGCTATTGTTAGTAATATTTGAGGGTCAAAGAAGCACATCAGGCGCTCGGGAACCCTACAAACGCGCGGGTGAGGTAACCAGATATCTACCCGAGGGACTGTAAATGCCAAGGCTATGGACTGTGGATTTCGCCAGCGGAAATCGCGTCGTGACGCGATTTGGCGCGGGTGCGCGCCAAAATCGACCCCCTCCTCAGCTAGGTTCGGGTCGGGAAATTCACAGTCCCAACCGCGGCATCACAGTCCACTCGGCACCCAGATCTGTGGCTTGCCCCGAGCTTTAGCTGACCTACTTGCTTGCTCCTGGTATTTATTCCTTACTTAGCTGCACTGTACCGTAGCTGCACATGTACTATAGTTCAAAGAAATTTTATTCCGAATTTTCTACCCTACCGTACCCTCATGGAGGAGGCTGCATCTGCCCGCCTCCCGAGCTTGACTTGCAGCGGTGGCGGGAGTTGCTTATGTAATCCGATTGAGACCGTAAACTTTCCTATGATCAGATTCACTTCGACTTTGATTCGAACGAGTGGCCTTGAGTTGAACGATGATGATATATGTAAAGACTGTCAATATAACTACTACACTACGCAACAATAGCTGTGTGAGTCTCACATTGGTATATATACATCATACATACTGCCTTACCGGGCGACTCGTAATGACTGCAGCTGGACTTGGATACTGTTGCTCGCGCTCATGTCCTCTGATGTACGGCTATTGTAGATTTTGCCATAACTTTAGACTTAGACTATAATGCTACCGTAGTCAACATGCCACCTTTAAGACACTCAATCCGTGTAAAGGCTACGACCGTATTTCAAGATGTTTCCGACATACAGGATCTACTGCAGAATTCCTGTGATATTACAGCACCACCAGAAGCCCCTACCTAATCTAAACCTGACAACACCTGATAAGGGCTTATCAGCCTTGAAACACAACATCATAATGCCTGATCAGTCCATCAGGTTCTGTCAGGGCTTATCAGTCTTTTCCAGATTTTCCGACAAAGGACCTGCGAGTCAGGTAAAACATTCGATAGCGTGACAATATTCTTACATACTCCCCATGACCTGAGTATATTTTCCATACGTCTGTTTATCCGATCGTAGCGGCGCAAGCGCCAATCCCCGACTCCAGTCAGAAACCATCAAGTATTCCAGTACTAGTGTCTGGTCAAGTTGCGGAATGCCAGTCTTGACGCGTATGGACACATACACAGTATTGATATAGTCCTGTCTTATATCTACATCAGTATTTAAAGGGGCTTCCTCCCAGTCCCCACTCAGAGATACTAGTCTCATTTGTCAGCCTCACTTGTGGCAAAGCATCCTTTTATCGAATGCTATGCACTGCATCACTTTGACCTTTCACGTCAGGTGTGTGTGGGCAGTTGTCTTCAAGTTCGAAACGAAAGTGGCGTCGGTCCGGTCGGGACGTTGCTTACATGAGGTTCTCACGGCGAGAGCGAGTTGTATGGTGGAGCGACCATTTCTTCCCGACAGAACCCTCCTCCCAACTACCGTGGGAGTCGGGGATGCCACGCGGAAACTGAAGATACTTCAAGGCAATGCCAAAGGCACTGGCTAGCGAGTTCCCCAGTGCAGTCAGCCTTGCAAGTCCTTTGCCACTATTCATTCTTGAAATGCTTGGTACATTGTCATGCGTGTCATATCCTCCTTATCCCTTTTCCCCCTTTCCTCGATGAGATTGGAATTTCCCGCCACAATGGCCAGATATAGTTACCCCCTTATCCCCTTTGGGTATCGTTGACGTATGATGCTTGATGCAGCGAGCGTGCACGTCCTTCTCACCGCCTTGTCCAGTTTCCATGAGCTCTAGTCGCCGTTCAAGCCGTCGTTCGAGCTCGAGCAAGCAGATACCGGCTTGGAGGTCATTGTCGCTATCGAAGAATAGCGCGTCCGCCGCTGTATCGAAGGTTTTCGCCCAGCCGGAACACGGCAAGCCACTCGAGTCCGCAGCGTCGAAGCTGCCCGCTGCCATGCTCGATGATGCAGCCAGTATAACCAGCAGAAAGCGCGAGGACAGTGAGTCTTTGCACGACCTGAAGGACGAGGCAGACGTTAAGAGCGTGAGTGGTGAAACTGGACGGTCGGAGGGTACTCAGGAGCCTCGTGAAGCTGCTAGCGCGGTCGCTGAACAATATTTAGCGATGAACGAAGTACCCCTCACCGAGTCTCCATCGTCTACCTCGCCCGTACCCACGTCAGGGCCATCCCAGTCATCAGCTGCCATTCCGTTCCCTTCCACAAGCCAAACGGAGAGCTCTGCGAGCTCACAGAAATCGACTGGCGGCTCGTCATGGTTCTCTTCACTTTCCAGAGCTCGCGGCAAGACCAAGTCTTTCTCCTCAGCGACAGGCAAGACCTCGGAGGAGCAGTCGTCGAAGCCAGGAGAAATCAGCGCTCCCCCGGCTCCGATCATTGAAATCCAGCCATCCACTCCAGGGTTTGAAACCCCTCCTGCTGACCCGCAGTCGGCTGAACCCTTGAACCCATGCGAGAGTGCACCCGAAGCCACGCCCACGGCTACTGCTGCGGAACCCGCACCCGCTTCGCCCGAAGCCAAGCCAAGTGAACCCCAGCCTATCCCGGGCCATCGCAGCAAGCGATCATGGTTCGCCTCCCCGACCGGCTCGCCGCATCGCACGCAACCATCCTCCCCGCTCAGCCGCGCGCACTCACCCCACCCGCCCACGAGCTCCCCCAAGTCCCCGAGGCCGCGGCCGCGCGTGCAGCAGATGCCGTCCATGCCGTCGTCGATTGACGAGGAGGTGCCGCAGATTATCAGGCCGTCCCCGCCTGACGAGCCCCCGCACGCGGTCGTGCAGCACACGTGCGAGCCGGCGCCGAAGATATCGTCTTTGAATCCGGCGACGAGCAGGTTCACGCTGACGCTGCCGCTGCTGGGGAGGCCGAAGGTGCCGCTGGAGAAAGCGGTCGCTGCTGCCCAAGCGGAGGACGTGAGGGATCCCGGCCCGCCCAAGGAGCCGCTGGAAACGCCGATAGAAGAAGCGATCAAGGTTGCTCAAGAGCAGGACCTTCGGCAAGAGATTGCAGTCGAAGCCAGCGGCTCAAGTGAGTTCCTCTGATTATTCAATGTGTTCTCAATGACACAATCAAACAGATTCCAACGGAAATGCTGAACTACGGGAGGGTGAAAGCGCCGTGGTGAAGGCTACCTCAACCACGAACACTTCTATGACAGTCGAGAAGACCGCCGTTGACACCATGACTCGTTACTCGTCTTCCTCCTCTTGGTGGGACTACGTCGGCTGGGGATACACTACGTCGAGTCAGGCATCTCAGTCGGGCAGTGCAACGCCTCAAGATGCCATCGCCAACACTTCCTCCGGTGCACCATCTGCGCAACCTCATAGTCCGTCAACTTCCACCGCGGGTTCTACAGAAAGTGCTGCAGAATCTGACGAACACGACACCGTGAAGGATCCTGCGCCACCAAAGGCGTCCTCGATATTCTCCGCTGATACGGCGCGCAGCCAAGGGTCTGCTTGGTATTCACCCTGGAGTTGGTACTACACGCCTTCTCGGAGCATGTCTGAGGAGCAGCCATCTGCTCATCAGGGCTCCGAGAAGACGGAATCGGAACGCGTCAAAGAAGAGGCTTTGAGACGTTCTGAATCGGAGCCTCCCGTGAAAGGAGAAAAGACTGCGTCTCCAGACTCGCAACGACGTCACGCATCGGATATCAATCCGATAGAGTCGAGCATCACGATAAATCGCTCTGGGTGGATCTCCTTCCTAGCGTCAAGAGCCTTGATGATGAAGACAGTGGCAGGATCTGATGCTGAGGTCCGAAGGGACGAGAACGGCGTGGAGGTGATGGATATCGACGAGGAAGAAACGCCGAAAGAACAGTCGACCCAGCAGGCGGTTGTCGCCACGCGCCAGCAGGCAGCAGCAAAGGTACCACCATCACCGACTCCCAGCACCCCGGCCAGCAAGAGCGGACCGGAGCCTAAGAAGTCCGGCCCCCCTGCTCCGCCGATCACTGAATCGGATTCCATCAAGCGGGAGACGACAAGGGTGGGAAGGGACAAGCACCGCAAGGACAAGCAACCTCGGAAGGCGTCTTCGGCGTCCCCTGCATCATCGAAGAAATCGGGGGCTACTACGCCGACGTCACCCCGCGCACAGCCTCCGAATCTCGTATTGCCCACATGGGCCGATACTTTCCATGTCCCTCCGAGATCGGTGGTGCCGCCTCCGCCACCGTCGACGCTGAGGAAGACCATGCGCCTCGTCAGCGCTGTGGGGGGAGCCTTGTTCGCGCAGGAGGACCAGAAGGGAAAGGGCAAGGGCAAGGCTCGTGACCACGAGGAGTTCCTACATTACGGGAAAGAGCTCCCGCGGGCATGGGACGTACTTGGTGAAAGGCTTGAACCGGATGTACTAAGAGGGTGCAAGAAAGTGGTGGTGATTGGAGTACACGGATGGTTTCCTGGTAAGAATTATCCATACTGAATGTTTGTCCGGTCGCAACTCACGCCGGATGCTCATTCATAGGTGCTGTGATGAGGACGGTACTCGGCGAGGTGGGTTCTCCTTTCGTATATTATTGATGATCCTGTTCTCTTATGAACGTGACATAAACGTCAATTGACCGGCAATATAGCCTACTGGAACCAGCAGCAAGTTTGTGAATATGATGTGTCAAGCTCTAGAAGACTTTGAGGAAAGACATCAGGTTAGATTAGAGAAGGTCACACAGATTCCATTAGAAGGAGAAGGAACGATAGGGAAACGGGTAGAAAGGTGCGTGAGGCATCGACTCAGCCCGACGTTCTCCCCGATTCACACCGTGACCGCAGACTGTACAATACCCTTACAGGGAATAAGGAATGGATGGACGATATTCACTCCGCTGATGCTATCTTCGTTGCGACTCATTCCCAGGGTTCCATAGTATCAACCCACGTCCTTGACCGTCTCATTCGCGATGGTCACATTAGGACCCGGAGAAGCGTCGACCTTACCAATGCAAGCACGGCCGTGAATCCTGGTGGTGCGGTGCCTGCGGTAGGATTACCCCCGCAGCGAGTATGCTGCCTCGCTCTCTGTGGGATTCACTTGGGGCCGCTTCGGTACCTTAGCAGCAGTTCATTGCTGCAACCGTATATCCAGGTTGGTGGCTTGGCTTCGCAATCCTGCATAAATCTCAACTACAAGATAGTACTTCGAGTCTGCTGCTGCAAAGGAGCTATTTGATTTCCAAGTATGTCCGGTTCGCACTGTTATGCCCTGTGGTTGTCTCAGTCTTGGTGCGATAGGATACGGAAAGTCAGGTATCCAAAGACTACGTGAAGGCGCTGCAAAATGTGACAAATCATGGAGTAAGGCTCAGCAAAGATATACGATCAAGCTCGTTACGCTAATCTCTTCTTTCCGCAGACCAAGATGGTCTACATTGCATCCATGAACGATCAGGTGGTCCCAGTTTATTCAGGCCTCTTCACGTCGGCGTCGCATCCTCTTATTCTTCGAGCCTTATATATTGATGGTGATGCATACCAGTACGTTGAGTCACTGAGGACGGAACCTTTAATCACTCATCGAGGCGTTTTCTCAGTTCTTCTGATTTCATGTCAAATCTGCTTGTTCTTTTAATAAGAATCCTGAACTCTGGACTTTCGGATAGTGGACTATTGGTCCATCTTTCGGAAGCTACTGCAGGGTCCCTAAGTGGAGTGGGACATTCTACGGCATACGAAGAACTACGGACCTTCAGGTAATCGCAGTCGATATCGTCATTTGACATGCGCTGAAGCCTCAGCAGTCTTGCCGTCGATTATCTATTCTTGACTAATGATGGTCTTGACGATCATCCAGAACTTGAGATCAAGCCTTTCAATGCCAATAGCGAGCTTAATGACTACGAGGTGAGACATTAGACGGTGTTACCTGGTGTCTGATGTGTTAACAGAAGTCCGGTGCAACAGATACCTTGGGCTCTTCGCGACCTCATAGCAGACGAGCGCGTCGCGTACTTCTTCTGGAAGGAGTTCTCACAGCTCCGAGATGCTTTCGACGATTGGCATCCCAAAACCACCATTTTGAGGGATATCAAGCGCAAGCTACAACCGATACAACGTCTGCCTTCAGCTTCGAATCACACTTCTGCCAGCAAGTTATGAACAGCTCATGTTTTGCGAGACGCCCGAGATCATCACAATCCACGGGGCATCATTCACCATGGACAGCAATTTGGTGTATACTCATTCATGTATTATATCGCTCTGTTGTATACATAGGCATTTATCAAAAAGGTATTGCATCGATTGACGACCAGCTAGGAGTGAGAGCGCACAAAGTATCGCAAGGCGTTTCCTTGTATCATCCTCGGTCTGATCCTCTAATCCAGCTCACAGCACAGCCATTCGTTCCGAATCACGTCCGCCAAAGTCTCCCATCTCCTAGACACCGGTACAATTGAATTACGTTGCATGTGGGACCCTGCTTGCTCAGCGATACTCAGCCCCACAGTCGCCTATACTGGTAATCATTCGTCGGCCGTTCGAGCGCTCTAACACTGCTTCGATAGCAGCATTATCATCCGGTGATAATTTGAAGCCAAATGCCTTCTGATTATCGCGCGTGTGTTCGGACACTCCGAGACGAGAGCCTAACCCAGGGTAGGGAACTCCCATCAGCTCATCACTCCGCAAAGACGAGAGTGAATTACTGACCTACGAGGACAGCACCCACGAAAGAGTGGTCGAGGACCCAGCGTGTGGCTATGTTCGCTATACTCCGTCTGTGACGATCAGCAATCACACGCAGCACGGTCAGGAGCTCTTGAAATAGCGCCCAGCTTCCCCAAGCGCGGACGATGATATCGAGATACTGAAGATGGGGTTAGACGTTTGAAAATCCTAACCATGGGAGGCCGACGGCTCATACCTTGCGCTGAGATGGAGTAAGGTTGCCGGAATACAGATCAGGTTCCGGCTGGTGAAGCCAGTGGTCTGCGAGGAACCCACCGCACTGTGCTTAAGAAGGTCAGTATGACCACATACTCATCAAGGGCTGGAGGACTAGCCAGAGTCCCGTAAGTCAGAAGCTTCATGCAGTGTTTTTCGCACACCGCTGCCATCCCATGCAGAGGACGCGTATCAATCAATGAGAACTTCATTGGGTGAGCGCAGCGCTTGCATCGGTACCATAGAAAGCGCTTACCTGCACTTGATTCGACATTATAGATCCGGGACCGAGCTGTGTGCATATTTCATCACTTCTGATTGAATCAAAGTTGCACAGTCCTATGGCGCAGATCAGTCCCTCTCGTTGTAAGTCCTGAAGGTGTCGGAGAGCGGTCATGTATTCATGGTTGGAATAGTCTTGCCAGTGGAACTAACAACTAATCACGTGTCGGCCAACGAAGGGCACGTGGTAGACGCTACCTGCAATAGATCTATACGCTTTGTGTTCATGCGTTTCATGCGTTCACGCACAGCAGCTTCGACCACTTGACGTGACGGATCCGTGGGCCTGAAGACGCACCACTTGGTAGCACCTATGACCTTCGTAGACAGGGCGAACGCCTGCTGAAACTGTCCCTATGGGCACGTTTAGGGCAGCATTTCCTATCAATAGATGGTCACATACAAAGAGAATTTCGGCGCTTCCGTAGTGGTCCGCTGACAGAAGAGGGGGTTAATGCCGTGCAATGACCGAACGTCAGAATGAGGTGGTGTACCCTGATATCGTCGGACATGATGAGCTGTCAGCTCCCTTCTCGATATAGCTTAGACAATCTTACCATGTCTGCATGGTAAACGCGGTCAGCGATGCCAATGCTTATGGTCGTACACTGACCGAATGCCACATATCCCAGCTCAGCATGCCTTGCCATTTCGCGACGGATCTTGGACGCAGGGGCAGTACCCCAGGCATTACTGGATAACTGCCAAAGGCCAGTCCAGATTCTAGGAGCAATGAGAGGCCCCAGCTGAAATGTCTCTAAGCACTCATTGTGGCGAACCATGGTACCAGTGAGTGGCGGTAGCCAATGCGTTCTGTGCAAGTAGTCCCCTCTTCTTATGTGAATCCAATTAGCCTGAGATATGGATGGACGGCGTACTATGTAGTAGCCTGATAAAACACAGAATCAGGCGTCTGACATGGCATTGGTGTTCTGTGTTGTTTTCGGTCCTAGTATCCATATGACGTTTCGTTGACTTGGGACCCGTTAGTCATTCTCGCTTGCCAGGAAGCTATTGTTCGGATGTCACGTTCTGGGTTAGGATCAGGGTCACGTATTCAGTTGCAGATCTCCGGGAAGTTTTATAGCTGTGTCTGAAGGGGGTCAGTTCCGCTCCGACGTGGAAAGCACTGATCCCGGGCCCAACGGTACCGTTAAGTCATGCGTTCTCGAGCGTTTCAAGCAGATCGGCTTCGGGAATCACAATCTGTTTCGCCTGATCTTCATAGACCCATCTTTGGCCCCGTTCGACCACGGCGGTTCCGTTCGCTGATTTAACTCACTGTTCAGTGCATGCGCACAAACTGGTTACATGGCACAATTGCTGACGTTACGCGTTGCAATCATGTGCTGCCAGTGACTATAAAATGCCTGAGAGCTGCAAGTCAACTCAGGGCTAATAATCATTGATATGCCATCCCCCGAGATCACACCGGCACATTCATACGAGCCCCGGGCAGCGAGCGGCCATGTGTAAGTAAGCTTCCAGAACGTGGTACATCGACGCGCTTTTACCTAGCCACCACAATAGCAACCTCATGGTCGACACGTTAATCGCTAATATGCGCCCTGAAGAGTAGGTGTTCTCTATGAGCTCGTCTATGGTGCGGGATTAACAGCTCCTTCCCCTATGTAGCTTGCGAGCCATAATGCGTACCTTGCTTGCGACGCATTCCCCAGCGCTTGCATCGGCTTTCACAGATATCGCGAGAGCACGACTCGTCCAAATAAACGCCCAGGCCTTGCCACCATCGTCGACAGTCTTCGTGACGACTTCCCCCTCTGGCTTGTCCAAGCCAGCGCCGAGCCTTGAAGAGGTCCTAAAACGAGCAAGGTCACTATATGGCGCCGGGATGGGATTCGCTAGCCTGTCTTTGCTAGCTTCAATAGTTCGGGACACATGGGGTAGACGGTGGGAAGCTGAGGGGGAGATGATCGATGCTCTGACCATGATCGATGCCGATATTACGCAGGCACTCCAGAGCTCGAGAGAGGAGCTAGAAGGCGGTCGCATCGCCGATCTAGCGGCCGCGCGCGCAGCAGCAGCCGAGTTGAGAGAAGCTTTGAAGGGTAGTGACGCGGAGGTTACGACCTGGGGTGGAGAATTTCCGTTCGAAAGAGGTGCTGCTAGTATGGATCATTGGAAGTTTTAGCCCTAAGCTGTCACACCTGTATCGGACGAGTATAAGCGTAGAGGAAGATCCGTTCGTTCCATAGACCACCGCTTTCGATGATGAAACCGGGGGAGGTCCGAGTAGATGGTCGTGGCCGTGACTGAGGAATAGAACCTGTGCGATCATCAGCCAGGGGACGTGGAGTACAGTGGCAGCTCTTCGCAAGTTTACCTTCGAGTATGTCCAAGGTGACGGTGTAATCAGTCAAGGGCTACGGTTGTCAACATGAGACGCCACGACAAGCTTCTGGGCAGGTACAGCGAGCGAAATCTTGTGCTCTCCGTCACTCCTTGGCAGCTAAGGGACGCTGACGATATTTCACTCCACTGATATCCGGCTACTTCATATGTGGCCGGCAACCGATCGCCTACATGTATTCGAGTGCGTAAGTAGGGGAAGGAATGCCTGAAAGGGGTGGCACCAGTCATGGTAGCTAGTATCCATAGCAAGGCATGTGATTAGTCCTAACGCTGCTGTCTGGACTTAGCTATATGATAGGACGGTCAGCCATATGGATACCGCCTAGTACCCGTCGTTGGAAAGCATGGTAGCGTGCGGGATCCGGGCGTATATCCTGCTTCCTAGTGATCACGAGAGGAATTCGAATCATCTATTTCAGCATACGGAAGATGTATATTTACCATGAAAGGGCAACTCAACATACCCGACCCCTTCCACCGTGGGTGTCATCACATGTGAGCAGATAGACATGCGCTCAATCCTGCAAGAAAGCCGTCAGATGTCTGACCGGGGTTTCATAAGACGCCTAACCGGCACGTACCTAGGGAGGATAGCCGTGAATAACTAGAGCACGCAACAAGCAATGCAGTTTCGCGCTCTGCATAGGACATCATAGCACCAGACAGAGTCGAGCGCCTGCCGAGCCGACGAGACCAGTGTTTACTGACAATTGATCGTAAGCTGACGGCAATTTTCAGGAACGCCACCTTTCTCAGTGTCGCGTCATCCCGCCTGGTTTGAGCGGGTAGCTGTCGTGCCCTGGCCATGGGCCGTTTTGTCCGCGGACGTGGTGGCCGAGGAGTGCATCACCAGGTGAGGCCGAAGCTCCAGGGGCACCACGAAAGTGATCTTCTCAGGTCTCTGTAAACAAACGTATGAAATGCGGTGAGGTGTAAGGCCGAGTATAAAAAAGATAGCCTCTCAGACCCTCAAATATCGTGAGATGAAGCGGTACACATTGCCTGGCAAGGCCGTTACTTCCGGAACCCTGGACTGCTGAAGGCACAAGCGTGCCGTTACCCCAACCATCGGGGAGATTACCGCTCAGTCCAGAAGTGGCATTGTTCCAGGCTTCGTAGAATGTCGCAAAGATCAGAAAGACTCGGAAAGCTACATTTTCGTTTTGACAAGCAGTCCGAGCTCCGGCAGTAAGGCGGTGGCAGACTCGTATAAACAATTGCCAGTTGGTCCGGTTGCGTATGGGTCACTGCAGATCACTGCATGGCAATATGATCAGAGTCGCTACGAGACGTGGCTTCATATGGGGGCGGGCTGTGACCCTGGATGGTGCTGCGAGTCCCTGCGAGTCTACAGATAACGGTCGTATGCATCCCCCCCGGATTCAGGCAGAGTTGTCAAGGCGTTCCGGATAGGCGACGTCGAAGACACGAGATGTGGATGATAGCACCAATGGCAAGCCACATACAACTCATGATCTTTGCGCAAGCGCCGGCGTACACGATGAACACCGGAAGACAAACTAGAAACTCCTCGATCAGGATCGTACTTCATGTCTTGATCTGTCCCGATTCCCGCGAGGCTTCGCGTACTCAGCTTCCGCCGGCGAGAAGCTTGAAGCATGAGCGCGCAAACTCGGAGGACATGACATTTTAACTGTTACGTGGACAGATAAATTGGGCGGACTACCGCCATAGAGCATAAGCTAGTAGTGGTGAAGATAAGAGACTGATCCGCGCACGTATTTGATGTCCCGGGTACTAGAGCAGGTGCCTTCCTAGTACATAGTGTACAAGACGTACTAGCGGGTGGGTAAGCCAGATCATCAGCGGGACTTCCAGTGCCCTAATCTTGAAGGCAACGGACAAGATGAGGAACCGATAACCCCATTGCGAACGGGTCATATGACGACAATTTTTTTCTGGTTTTCCGGAGTGGACGTGAGGATGTATTACCGGTCTTCAAGATATTGCCCTTCATTCATAAGACGAGAACCGAGAACAGCCCAAGACTCGGATCTTAGCTGCTACAGTTTCTTTCTTGATTGTCCCACGCGCTTTGCGATAGCTCGGATGCTCAGGAGCACACCCATGTGGATCCGGACGAGTGGGGAATAGGCAAGGGGACAATCTCCCCGCTGTCGCATCGTAAACGCGCCCAGGGAACACGAGCAAAATACGATGAGACACTCGCCGCAGCCATTTCTCCATGGGGTATATGGAGCCAACGGATCGTCACAGACGAGCAAATGAGTCGTAGAAACCCAGAAGGCGAAGATAAATCAGGCTTCGGACCATGGTTGACAGCATCAACAGGTAGGAAACCCAGGCCAGTATCTGACCATTGACACGTCGGGAGAGGGACCCCGCTTAGAATCATGTGGGTAGAACTATCCGCTATTATTGTCCTATGGGTCAAAAAGGACTCAGATTAGAAAGATATATCGTTAGTAAGGCTATGCCCCGAGGAGGATGGATCTCCGACGCACCTGCTTGTTTAGACTTCTACTTCAAACCATAAGAAATTTTGGTCGGTCATGAGTAAACTTCGGCTGAGAATGCCTAGCGATAATAATTGTATGATTATACGTCCTGTGTATGAACCCGTCTGGTTAGCACCTTCCGCGATTTCGTAGATGGATATCGCAGTGCACGCGATAGTGGCGACCTCGGGCAGAAAGAATGTCCCGCGTGCCACCATCTGGCGTGTGCGCCTGGCTTGCTGTCACTATATTCCGCTCTTCTGAGCAGGACTGCGCCGTACCCGTTCGAAGGCTGATTTTCGAGATTCATCCAGGAGAACGAGCGAAATAATTGGAACATGGCCATTTGCAGGCGCGTCATTTCGCCACAGGCACTGCCACTTCTATTGCTACATTAAGAAATGGCAATGCAAAAATAACTCGTTGCCGAGCCCGCTCCCATCGGATTCGGAAGGAGGTAAGTACGTGGCTGTGTACGTCGGCGGGTGCCTGGTCGCGCCTCTCCCATAAGTGAACATGCCTATTCCTGAAGGTGTCGTCCAGGCGTACTGATACCCGCCATTGTCGGCGCCATTCACAGCCTCAACTCCTCGACTAGACTCTCCTTTCCATGAAGCCGCCTAATCATCCTGGAAACCCTGGTGCCTCCTAGCTTATAGATTTGTCCGCTATGAGCTATCGACGCAGCCATAGCTAATGCACTCGTAAAAGTTGCTACGGTGCGGATGACAAGCGCCATGGGGCAGGTTGCTTCCGCTCCGAATTTTACGTTTGTTTAGCCTGCGATCGAGGCCTCCGACTGTATTGTTTCTGACTGTATGAGCGCCAGGGCCATCGACGGATGACCGCCCAGGAGACCCTCAATTGGATCAGGCCGACTCATGAAACGTACAGCGCTCGCAGCCGATTGGAGGCTGGAGCGTATGTCGGCATTCACTAATTCGCCACTTATGTCACCCCACCGAGGTATTCTCATGCTAGCCTAAACGTGCGTTGTACGGGCTCATATAAAAGTTTCATCTGGACGCAGCACTCTTGGCTCTTCCTCGACTGACTGTACCCTCTAAAACGACGTTGTGTAACATTTTTGGGTATGTCTGCGTCTATTTGCCATCCGCATCAGTCATTCACTGTACCCAATGCTAGGTATCATGTGTGTGCCCTCGCTCCCCATAGAGCTTGTCGAGAAAATCGTCCGAAGTGCAGATCGCCAACAGTTAGGAGTACTCTCCTGCGTTAGCCGTACCTTGCAAGCCATTACTGAACCCGTCCTGTACGATCTCGTCGGCGACATGGGGTGTCGGAGAACTATCCACGCCATGCGATCAGTGCTGCGAGCCAAACGCTCGTACCGAAGGCAGTATGTTCGCTGTTTCTCGATCAATATGTCGACGTGGAGGCAGTGCCACACGTCACAACTCTTGCGGGCGTTCTTTCGTCTGCTCTCGGATACATTGCAGGTCCTGCCCGACCTGGACTCTCTACATCTCATTGGCCTCCCACCCTGCGAGGCGTGGGTCTTGGCCCGATGCCCAGCGCAGCCTCTAGCCTTCGTGACTAGCCTCCCACCCAGCCCGAGTCTTTCGGCCTGGCTCCAGGGACAGCGCCGCATGGAGATCCTAGTGCTAGCCAACAGATATATGGCGCACTGGGATCGACGAGTCGAGGTGTCGTCGCCCGCACTGCCCAACCTGCGGATGATTTGCGCGTCAAGCAACTCGTTGCAGCAACTCGTCCCTGGGCGACCAGTCGAGCACGTCGTGCTAGACTTCACAATCGACAACAAGGATGCGAACGAATACGGTGAGATGAAGAAGACTTTTGCGCTATCCTCGTCCCCGATCCATACTTTTGGTATTCACTTCCGCATCGCACCACGAAATCATTATATCACGTCGGATCTTCCTATGTTCATCAGCAAGGATACGGAACAGCTGGAGGATGTCACATCTTTAGATATCCAAGTTCCGACGTTTGACTTCTTTGATGTAAGCAGTCTCTTGGCAAGTCATAACAGCATTGATTTACCCGCTTTCAAGGCGCTTCCTGAATTGACGAACACGGTACAAACGTTCCCCAACCTGTCAGCCCTTCGGGTCAGCGGGCGTCGACTCGCTACTACTTGGGACGTTTCGGCACTGGAAGAGCACAGCAATAATTGGCGTAGTCACTGTCCGTCCCTTTCACGTACACTCTTTCGCGACTCTATGGAACCCGAAACGTCTCATGAGTTTTCGTGGGACGGGAAAGATCACAAAATGGTCCTCCAGTCGAGTGTCGGCTCAGGAATAACCCTCAAATGGGACCAGAGTACGCTATCCGAGTACGAGTACTATTCTGCCATGCTGCAGGTGGCTTTACGTGGGTGACCAACCCATGAAGTCGCGTGTTTCTGTCGCAAGGACCTTTCTCTATGCATGGAAGTTGGTTAATCACGCATATTAAAATATCACTTGATCTAATATCTATCTCATGTATCTATCATAATTAAACAATCCGATTCGATACCATCGTACCTTTGGAACAGCGCAGTATTCGTCGCGAAAATCATCTGTTACTCCGACATGGCATCTCCGAAGGACCATCCCTTGCGGCCTGATGTGCATAACGAGGTTAAGGTATGATGATGTATGTGGTTGCGCCCTTGCCTTCGTGATTCAGATCCACACGAAGTTGAGCCGGACGCTTGAATGGATTGACAGCCTCCTGACAGATGTGTCTCTCTCAACTCCACTGCCCGAGGTACCACCGGGGCTACGAGAGTGACAGGGCCTGCCCAGTTTTCCAGGCTGATAGTTCGGAACAGCCAGGATGCAGTCCGACTCCGACGTAGTCCAAGTGCTAGTATTAGGTCAAGGGGCAATAGTGTCAACCGTCTTCCAGGGCCGTGCTTGTCGATGGGCTCGTCAATGGGTAGTCCTAAGCTGCGGGTGCCTTGATTTCCTGTCACTCAAAAATGTCTAAGCCAAGTTGCTCGTACAAAAAGGTCTACTAGAAAGATCGTACAAGCATTGCGACAGCTCGTTCATCAGCCACTGGTTTGTGCAAACAAGGTCAAACACAGACGCGCACAGATTACTTGTCCAGGTATCCACGTATCCTCGACGTCAAGCTTCGAGCTCGGAAGGACTATGTGCGCTGTCTACGCTATGGTTGTCTCAACCGCGGCTATCCTTAAATGTCACTCATCCACATTGCTTGTAGTAGTACGGCTCCGACTGTTCGGGGAAGTCCCGGAATAGATCCTATGACTCGTATCCCATGCTCGAGGTGCCGCGCCCTTACATTTGGACGCTATAAGAGCTCCTGACCTGAAAGCGACCGTTGCTGCTGATCGTTCTGCCCACCGCCGTTTTGCAGCAGTATGGTTCGCAACAAGGACGATTATGTGTTCTTCTGGAAGCCAGAACAACCTAACGGCTGGGCATCGCAGTGGTACCCCTCTCCATTCACTGTCACTATCAAGGTCAACGATCAGTTATCCACCATGATCTTTCAGACGGCGGAGCAATGGATGATGGCTCAGAAAGCATTATTGTTTTCTGACAGGGAGACGCTCGACAAAGTGCTAGCAGTCAATGGAACGACAAACGGGGATATGACGTTAGTCAAGGCGCTGGGGAGAATGGTCAGTCCGTTTGACGATCATACGTGGAAGAGGGAAAGAGAGCGGATAGTGTTGGAGGGAAGCCTGCACAAATTCAGGCAGAATGAGGAGCTGAGGGAAGCGTTGTTAAGCACTGGCGACAAGATTTTGGTTGAAGCAAGCCCTCGAGACCGAATCTGGGGGGTTGGATACGGAGAGAAGAGTGCGCTGACGAAGTCGGACGCCGCCTGGGGTCTGAATCTGCTTGGAAAGGCGTTGATGGAGGCCAGACGGATACTCCGAGAAGAGCAGGAGCGGGATTGACGTTGAGAAGAGCGTCTGCATGTTCCAGTGTTTAGGTGTGGGCGGATAAGTGTCTCCTAAGGTACGATTGTATCAGCATTATGGCGGCCTCACGGGAAAGTTTGATAAAGCGCAGCGCGGCTTTGATTTCGTTGCTATCGGATAAGTCGACTGGCATCCTGCAAATACCTCATTGGCTCTCTTCTGCCTCTCAGAACAGACTGGAGGGCGTTGTGGGAAGGCGTTGAGTCAGATTCTCTGCTGCCGTTCCCCTCGAAAGACTAAGCTGAAGCTATTTTTAGGTCCTTGCATGTCAGGTTCCTCGGAGTTTTTGACTAAACGCGGTCCCGAATGATATCCAACGCTCTCTGCGCGCGGATTTCTGGCCTGGATATATAAGCCATGGCACCGCGGCTGGGTGACGCCAACTCACCATTCGCACATACGCCACTGGACGCGCATCTGCCAACTTCCTTCTCCCCAATCCAACATCAAAATGTCTACCCAGTCGAAGCGTATTGGCATCATTCTCGGCAGCTCTCGCAAGGGCGGAAACGCTGCGGGCCTCGCAAAATGGGTCACTGCAAACCTCCAAAAGAACATCCCTGAGGACGTTGAAGTCGTCACCGTTGACCCTGTAACCCCGCCACACCCCCTCGGCCCCCTTGTCGACCCCATCATGCCATCGCTCGTGAAAGATCAAGCCGAATACCCGACCCAGCACATCCGCGACTGGAGCGCCTTCGTGAGCTCCTGCGGCGCGATCGTCGTTATCACACCCCAGTTCAACTGGGGCTACCCGGGCGAGCTGAAGAACGCGCTCGACCATCTCTACTACGAATGGCACGGGAAGCCCGCCATGATGGTCACCTATGGCTCGCGGGGTGGCGGAAAGTGCGCGGAGCAGCTGCGCCAGGTGATGGGGAAGGGGCTGAAGATGAAGCTTACTGGGCGGGATGTGCTGGTTTCACTTCCGCACGAGTATATCGCGGGTCAGGAACGGACGACGGGCGACGACGAGTTCTTGAAGGCGTTCGAGGAGTCCCTCAAGGAGGCTTCGGACGAGTTGTACGAGCTAATGGGCGGCGAAGCCAATGCTCCTGCATGAAGCTGCATCGTACCGCATTGTTAGGTGAGCACTTATCTCAATATCAAGCTTGAGTGTTTTGCTGAAGTCCGCGCCTTGAAGTCTTATTTATTCCCCATAGAATATTCGTCCCTGCCGATACAGCATCCCCACTCGACCATCGCTCGTAGAAGGGACATACCCGGGTGTTTGACAGCGTATACTCAATGTAATATATCATACCTAGTCTGAAGTCTTGATTCAATCACTGAGTACTAGTGTATGGAAAGGACAGAAGAAATTTGTTTCGCCAGGTCGGACGAAGAGGGACAAACTCGCAGCGTACGAAATTGCAGTAGTGGCCTCCAAAGCGAAGCGGTGGGCGACTTCACGCGTCACGGACTATGACGTGAAGGATTTGTAGACTGCGTAAGGACTAAGCGGAGAGAGCCTGAACGAAAAACTTTTTCACCACAGCTTGGGCGTATTTGTGGCGTTGCTACGCCACCGACTCATACTTTTCGCAGCGACTTATCGTCCCTCCTCGTCCCAGTGTCTAGCTTTGCCTGTCGTCCAGAGACCGACAGCTGTTACTGTTTTTTCTGGCGACATCAGCTGGGCTTTGACCCATTTACATTCTCACTGTCGCCCGCCATGTCAGGGATTGTACCGACGATCCCGACGGAATTCCAACAGTACAAGTGAGTTGCTCCTACCCGGTGCGATTAGGCGAGACTTAACGTCTACTTTGTTTGATCTCCGTATAGCTCATATGTCACTGATCCAGCATGGCAGCGCAAATTCTCCATCGTTTGGGCCTCGTTCACGGGCTTCGCCATCCTCCTCGCCCTTCCCCGATTCCTCCGTGCCGTACGACGAGGTCAAGTGTCCGGTACGCTATTCGGGATCTCAGAAGACCTGGGTGCGAAGGGGTACAGGCCTGCGGTGATGGAGGATAGGATGCCGACGCCCACGAGGAGGTGGAGGTTGGTGAATGGAGTCGTAAGGAGTGCTGCGGCTGCATTGCTATGGACGATACCGAAGTCAGAGATCAGCTTGGGACAGAGTGCGTAACTAGCCATGGTTATGAATAGTAGGAAACTGATACCGCGAGCAGTCTTGGTTATTGCGGGATACCTTGCTACGATACTGGTCTGCATTATCAAGGATGCCCCCTTGGTGGAAAATCCCAACCGAGCAGGTGCGGGGAATACACCTAGAATCAGCTCATTTATCTCATTTCTGCCTTAGGATTTCTCGCCATTGCGCAGTTACCAGTCGTCTTCCTCTTCGCGACCAAGAACTCCATATTGTCGCTCCTTCTTGGACCAGGGAACGGCTACGAAAAGCTCAACTACATCCATAAATGGTCCGGACGAGGAGCGTTCCTCGGGGCCCTAATACATGGTGCCCTCTGGATTCGCAACCATATCGAGTTCGATCTGCCCATTCTCGGCCAGCAGAAGGAGACCTCTGGCGTCGCCGCGTTCGCACTACTCTGTATCCTCGTCTTAACGTCGTTAAGGCCTGTCCGACGGTACTGCTACCAAGTGTTCTTCTACGTCCAGTATGTAGCTTCGCAACGCTCTTCTTTCTCCTCTCGTTCTCATCATATCCGTCCAGCATCCTATCTTCGATCTCATTCTTCATTACTCTGTGCTACCATACCATATACGCCACGCCGTGGATCTTCCCGCCTCTGGCCTTCTATGGCCTCGACCTCCTGCTTCGACTGCTCCGCTACCGCATCAAGGACGCCACGGTCGTGCCCGTCTCCAACGACATGACCCTTGTCAGTAACGCGCCCTCACTCCTGTTTATCCCAACTGACACTCACTGTCATCACAGATTAACGTCAACGACTGCGACGGAGGCTGGACCCCAGGCCAGCACGTCCGCCTGCGCGTTTTCTTCTCCGACCGCGTATTCGAGTCCCACCCGCTGACCATCGCCTGCGCCCCGCCCTCCACCTCATGTCTCTCCACCCCGGGCCTCATTCTCGGTGCGCGTGCCGTTGGCGACTGGTCGCACGCGCTGCACGCCTACGCCCGGCGCGGGCTCGAACGGATCGCACTGAGCGACCAGAAGTCACTCAGCGTGCCGGTACAGGTGATGCTGGATGGCCCGTACGGCGGGTGCAGCGTCGATCTCGGCGCGTACGAGAGCGCGCTGCTTGTAGCGGGCGGGTCGGGCGTGACGTTCTCGCTAGCGGTGTTGGATGATATCGTGGGACGGTGCTGTAGGCTCGGCAGGAGGGGCGGTGAGAAGACGAGGAGAATCGAATTTGCGTGGTGTGTGCGGTCGTTTGGTGAGTTTTACCTCGCTCTTACGGCGATTGGGAAGCTGATGGCGTCGAAAAGGATGCATTGAGTGGTTCGCACCTCAGCTCATCGAAGTTGCCAAGACGTGCGCGGGCACTTCGCTAGATCTGCATGTTTCCATCTTCGTGACATGCCTCTGCAACCCAGAAGCCGTACCCGACATCCCCAACTCGGACGTATCCATCCATCGCCCGGCAGTGCATACCCTTCTGCAAGAGCTTGTTACCCCGCCATCATCGACGTCGTCATTGTCCGACGAAGAGTCGTCGGAGAAGGTGGATCTGAAAGGGAAGCTGAACTGGGTTGGTCTTGGAGGCGGCGTTGCGGTATGTGCCGCTGGGCCGGAGACGATGACGAGGGAGGCGCAGAACGCGGTCGCGAGAATTAGTGCGACACGGGGCGTACAGCTGGGTGGGGTGTCTTTGCATACAGAGTTATTTGCTTTATGATCACGATCTGCAGGATCTTTCAGTGTAATCTTAGGTTGTACATTACTGGAGAACGTTTACGAATATAAAGGTTGTCGACACGATACGTGCGATGGTCACCATAGAGTCAAATCATCCCCTCACAGTAATTGAGTAGGAAGCAATGCTGCCGTCCTTATGCTGGACTGATCAAGGTACAGCAGTAATTCTCTTGTCGCGCCATCGACGTGCCATCGTGATGACTCGGAGTGTCTGCACCGCGCACGACGCCGGATTTGTTACTGATATTCCATAGCATCCCGCTCAACGTGAAGTCATACATTGGCAACGTAAAATAAAATAAAATACAAAATCTATTCCCATGTTAGACGAGATGCGCCCCCATGTTAGTATACCTCCCAAAAAGCGTCTCGCCTACACCCAACCCGACAACAATAGCGAAGATGAAACCGACTTGGTACGTCCTGCATAGAAGCTGTCGTCAACAACCAATTCGTATACACCTGGCACAAAAAACACGTACATGACCGCAAGCATGAAAGCGAAACTCAGGGCAGACTGGACGGCATGGATGATACCGCGCGGGATATCATTGGTAGGTATGAAGGGCAGGCTAGCCCGCGGGCCTTGCGAGGACGGAACAGAGGGGAGAACGGGGACGGAGGAGAGTGACATCGTCTTGCCCTTTCGCTCTGGCTTATTCGTGGCAGCTGGGAGAGACTGGGGAGTGCGTTTGTCCGCTAAGGCTTCCTGCGCGCTATACGGAGCATCGTCAGCCCCAGCTCACACATTGTCCCTGAATACAATCAGGAAAGACTCACCTCCTCCACCAAGCCATATCCGCCAGCGCCCGGATACACGCTATCCACCTCTCCAGAATCGCCAACAAAAACAAGCCGATACACGCCCCAACCATCGCGCCCGTGCTCTTCGGCACCCAGCCCTGGAACCACAGGATGTCGCCGGGCGTGAAGTGCAGGTACGTGAGCATCTGCCCCGAAGCGAGCGACATCGCGCCGTCCATCGACATGTCCATGCCGTTCATGTCGTCGTGCGCAGCTACGCCCGCCGCGAGTGCGAGCAAGGTGACGAGGGTGGCCATGTTGGCTGAAAATGTGTGCAAAGGCAGAGCGACCGAAGGCCTTGATAACGAGGCGACCGTCGAGAGGTAAATGGGCGTGAGAATTCCAGTATCCGAGCGGAGCAAATAAGGGCAAATATGACAACACGTGGACGATTGTGGCGTTTCGTTCCGCCTTTCCTTGCGTCCTTCCGCAAGCCTTCCGCGTGAACGCTGAGTTCAAAGTCAGAGTCTCTAGAGTAGGTTCGGACACAGAACTTGGAAGGTGCACCAGCAGAGCCGCCAGAAATCTCGAGCAGCCACTTTTCGTCCCAGCGCAAAGAAAAACAGAGCTAGCACCCCAGTACCATCCGAACGTTGCAGAATGCCAGCGCAGCTCATCATCGGACGTCATGCTGCACGATACGAAGAGAAAAACAGTCCCCATCCAGCACACTCCGACAGAGCATAAGCTTAACGAGTCCCGAGCCAGCACTGAGTATATGATACCACCGAGACGAACCTGATATGCGGGGGACTAGTCCAGTCATAGCCAGTTATCGCTTAGAAACGGGGTCTGTAGGATGAGCAACGGCGACGGGCACCAAAATAACGAGGCAGATACACATGTCGAGTCGGCCGGCAGAGACAACGAGCGAGGCATTGCGAGGCGAGGCGGATTGGTCCGGAGCGACCGGCAAAGTTCCTGAGAACTCCGCTCACCCCTGCCAACGCACGGACCACCTGCTCGACGGGGCCAGTTGGGGGAACACGGAGGACCGAGGTATTGCTGCCGTAGAGCTTGAACGTTGATTGAAGCTTGATATAACCTTGTACTATACGGGGCATAGCAGGCCAACGGCTTCGAATGTGAGTGCAGAATAGGGAAGGATCGACGCCGGGCGACCAGAAGCAGGATGGCGACGATTCAGAGGCTGACGCTCGCACGTCGCCATCACTGCACGCAGACCACACGAAGAGACTAGGACGAGTCTGGAGTCGGCCTTCGGGCAAGCAATCGTCGTTGGTGGATTCAGGCTAGGCAGGCCAGCAGCGACGATGAGACTCAGACAAGGGACAATGTAAAGCTCTGGAACTTGGATTAGCCCGGTTACCGTTTTTCGAAATGCTTTAGAGAGGTCAAGTTTCGTGAGGTGTCCTCTCACTTGACCTCCCCCTAGTCGGTACCCTCGGCGATGTTGCGCCTGGCGAAGACAATCAGGACGCAACTACCCATTGTCGGGGAGCTGTGCAGGTCCATGGGCCTTGGGCCCCAATGCCGAAAGACGAGTACGACGAGGTATCAGTTAGTCGCCCAGAACCAGCAAAAGTGGACGCGTGCCCTTGTGACACCACCGGGTAGTCATCGTTCAGGAGGTTGGGCGTGAAGGCAGAAAAGACACGACGGGCAGAATGATATCCCATGAGCCGCAGACAGCGAGAGGCAAGGACGGCAAGGACGTCGACGACAGTGAGAGGGACTGCGGTCGTGAGAGCGAGGTCGAATGGCGTGTTAGCCGGCAAATTGAGCGCATGAGGCCTTTATGTGATTGGTCCGCTGTTTCCCCCGCAAGGGCCATACAAAGGTAAACAATCAGCCACATTTTCATTGCGAGCCTCACACATAGATGTGTCACTACAGACCGAGTGGCCTATACAATTTCATGTAGTAAGCAATGGTGTCTCCTTGCATAATCACAGGCTGGCGCCATTACCTCGGAATCAACTCTGATGCCGGGCCAGTCTACGTGCAGTTCAAGCTGCAGCGGAAAGATATAGACATGTTCTTGCCATTTCTTTAGTTACAAAATATTAATGGGGAGATACCACCTAAAGTCTTGCATGTCTTACATGGAGACTCCAAGGTGACCTTGAATTGAGGCACATGGTCCCTCATCCTCTATAGAGAAGTACTAGGAAACTGAAGGGTAGATATGGGAATACCAAGATTCTATGAGCTGAATCCAGGTACAGAGCTGCCTCAATCCAATGCTCTGGAATGAGCTCTGCTCACAGCTCGGTTGCGACTCTGGACCACTACTGTAGCAGGCTAAGCAAGTAAGGCTGGTCCAACTTACATACACATGCGCACACTGGGAATGATAGCATCCTATGATATGACACCAAGGAAGCCGGGCGGGGGGGCCTGTCAGACACAGATCAAATGTTGTGCGTGTTATTACAGTCAACAAGGGGGCCACATCTCGGCCAGGCCCGCGATTTATGCCATAGATACATAGCAGGTTATGGATAACTAAGGGGCCATATCACGGCGCTTCGGCCCGATGTGGCATCAAGACTTTCAGAGAAGACAAAAAATAATGGGGTTAATAAGCCTTCGCGGTACACTTTCCAGGACTCAGGCCTCAGGCTCACTACCGTGCAGAATTGCATGGGTGGCTGCTAGTGACAGTACAATTAACAAAAGACACCACGTTCCACCGCATACTGCCGATTCATCCAAATGTGGCAGTACCTTTACCAAATCCGGATATGTTAAGTCTCCACGACATGCAGTATGCCATCGGAGGCTTCTGCACCTCCATTTTATATGAAGAGAGGGTCCATAAATTTACATCAAAAGCTATCCCTCCTCCTTCCCTTCCTCCTCAGTGATCCCACCCGTTGGCTATATCAAGTAATTTCCGTCAGTTTCGCCCGAAAAGCCTCAGGTACTGCTGTCAATGGTAGCCAGAGCAAGTAACAGCCAGGCCATGAAGAGTGCGAGACACCTTGGCAAGGATGCATATGGTCTATATGTGCTACAAGACGTTGGCGAATGTCTAGCCCCGTGCTGGAACCCACGACAGCTCTCCGTCCTGCGACCAGTCGACCATGGCTTACCAATAACCCCGAGCACTCATCGCGATGCAATAAGCGCTGAGGCAGCGCTCTGAGCAACGAGTCGGATGTGTAAGACAGATATAACCTCTACAATGGGCGTGGATATCGGTGGTGCGGCTCGTGGGACACCGCAGTTATCGGCTTGATTCAGACATCGGCGCTTTCCCAACTTCCGTTACTAACGTCAGGGCGCTCCTCGTCTCTCGTCGTACAGGGCCCTCGTCGACTCGAGCGCTCGCGTACTCTGGCAGCCGCGAACATGTCCGCAAGGTGGGTAGTTTCGCTGAACAGCCGAGGCTCAAGCTAACCTACTTGAAAGCAGTGAAAGGTCACTCAAGATAACAGGTACGCCAAGCATGTGAGCGACCAGACTCCAGATACAGCGGCTGACTGTGGCCGCGATCTTAGTGCTGGGAGCAAACGGTCTCACGAAACGGGACGTGTTCAAACTCCCAGACCCATCCGCAATAGTCAGCGTAGACAACGGATCGCAGAACTTTGAGACCAGTGTTATCAGGAAGAAGCTCAACCCATACTGGAACGAAAGCTTTCGTCTGTGAGCGGGGTGAATCATCGTCTGCGGACATGGCTGACGGCTTGGTCAGGAACGTAACGGAATCATCCGCTGTGACGATACAGGTTGTTGACCAGCGTAAACCACATAGACGGGATAGGTCATTGGGGTCTGTCACATTCCGAGTAGGGGAGGTATTTGACTTGGAGCAAGGAAACCACAGTACGTTGCTTGTGTGTTTAATGGTCTGCACAGCAATATTGACCTTCCTACCCCGCAGAGGTCATCACGCTCGACCTCAAACAAACGAACGAACCGTACGCAATCTACGGCAACATCATGTTTGCGATGACATCGGAAAGCCACCCGTCTTCTTCGTCTGCTACGGCTGGACAGTCGCTGAGGCCCGATATACGGGAAGAACCACGTTCTCGAGCCGGCACGCCGACGCATCCGTTAGCGGCACATTCGCATCTGGGTGACCCTGCCTCGTCCTCGAGACGCCCCGAATCTCCGGTATCCGTCCGATCGCAACAGCAGGTTCGCCGCGCACAGTCGCAACTCCTGGGACCCGAGAGTTCATCGGGATCGTTGCCGCCAGGGTGGGAGGTCCGCATGGACCCTCGAGGCAGGCAATACTACGTCGACCACAACACGCAGACGACGACATGGCACCGGCCGGGCGCGCCGGCTGTGCAAGCGAGCCCCTCGTACTCGACGGTGAGAGCTACGTCGGCGGGAAGTCGGGGTCATACCGACAGTCCGCTGCCTGGCGACCACCCGGCCGAGAGCCAACAGGCGGATGTGCGTCTGCCCGACGGATGGGAGGAGCGTCGGACGCCCGAGGGCAGGCCGTACTTTGTCGACCACAACACCCGTTCGACGACGTGGCTCGACCCGCGCCGGTCGACGCTGCCCTCCCGCCTGACCGCGGCGGCGACGAGCGGGACCAACCTCGGGCCGCTCCCGTCTGGCTGGGAGATGCGTATGACGTCCGTCGGGCGTATATACTTTGTAGACCACAATACGCGCACGACGACCTGGGAGGACCCGCGCCTGCCGAGCGAACCCGGAGCGGACGCGCCGCAGTATAAGAAGGATTACAGGCGGAAGTTGATTTACTTCAGGAGTCAGCCATCGATGCGCCCGCGCGACGGCAAGTGCGAGATTACGCTGCGGAGGAATATGGTGTTCGAGGACAGTTACAGTGCGGTGATGAAGTTCAGAGGGAGCGATTTGAAGAAGCGGCTGTACATCAAGTTTGAGGGCGAGGAGGGGCTCGATTTCGGCGGTGTCTCCAGGTACGTAGATTGTTTCCTGCGGTGGGAATATACTAATTAGGCGGCGCAGGGAATGGTTCTTCCTGCTGTCGCATGAGATGTTTAATCCGTCGTACGGTCTCTTCCAATACTCGACGCATGACAACTATACCCTGCAGATCAACAAGGCGTCTGGGATCAACCCTGAGCATCTGGACTACTTCACCTTTATTGGCAGGTGTATTGGGCTGGCCGTTTTCCACCGCCGCTTCTTGGATGTGTACTTTGTACCCAGCTTCTACAAGATGATGCTGGGGAAGAGGCTGACCCTTGCGGATCTGGAAGGCGTTGACGCTGATCTGCACAGGAGTCTGGTATGGATGCTGTGAGTCATGTTGGTCGGATCATCGGTGGCGTATAGACCTTACATCGCGTAGGGAGAACGACATCACCGACGTGCTCGACGAGACGTTCTCGACCACCGAAGATAGATTCGGAGAGATGGTTACTGTGCCACTTATCCCTGGTGGCGAAGACATCCCGGTCACCGAAGAGAACAAGCGCGAATACGTCGAGGCGCTCGTCGATTATCGTATCTCCAAGGGTGTGAAAGAGCAGTTCGACGCTTTCATGTCCGGCTTCGTTGAGATCATCCCGAAGGATATGATCAGCGTCTTCAATGAGCACGAGTTGGAGTGGTTGATTGGTGGTATTTCGGACGTCGACATGTAAGCAGGGCTATCACTCCCTGCGTTCTCAGTTATGACTCACTCACGGTTATCAGGGACGACTGGGCCAAGTACACCGACTACCGCAACTACGAGAAGACTGACCAAGTCATCCAATGGTTCTGGGAGTGCGTCCGAAAATGGCCGACGGAGCGCAAGTCTCGCCTGCTGCAGTTTGTCACGGGCACGTCAAGGGTGCCCATGAATGGGTTCAAGGATCTACAGGGCGCCGATGGCCCGCGGCGCTTTACGATCGAGAAGTGGGGTGACCCCAGTCAACTGCCTAGGAGCCATACGTGCTTTAACCGTCTCGACCTGCCTCCGTACCAGGACTATGCTAGTCTTGAGACGAAGCTGTTGTTTGCCATCGAGTACGTCTGCCGAGTTGGTCTTCCTCAGCTGACTTTCTGACTGCCTGTCCAGGGAAACGGAAGGCTTCGCCCAAGAATAAGGGACCCTCTTCTGTCTTCATTTTTGCTTCATCGTTCAGGAATTGCTGTGTCGTGTTCATGTGTATAATATCTTGAGCTGTGCATTTGTTATCTGTACCGTACGTTATGGAAGTTATTATCCCCGTGTAGTCTACTCTTTCTTCGGCGGTTCTTGTGAAGTATGTTATAGATATGTCGGTTTAGCATAGTGTACTTGAATGCACGATCGCAACATATTTGATTTGCGATCGTAGACAAGTGACTGGCATACCACGAGGACAGCATTGATGTAAGAACTACGGAGAAACATATGGTACTGACATAACCCTATACGGGAGTTATCACGCTTTGCTTGCATATTCCAACTGATAGTAATATGATCAATAATCCTCGGGTTCCGTCTTGGTTTAGTCCCTTCGCTCTCCTCTCAACCTTTCGCCGCTGTCCTAGACGACGCCGCCGTGGAATGCTGGCATTTCCTCTGCCATCTGGGAACTGGTAGTGTTCCTCGTCGCTCCCTTTTCTTTGCGGCTCGCTGGGACGTGTCTTGTCGCGAAAGGTCATAGACGTTTCCGACTTTGCATACCTGAAGATTACCCTTCGGTGTTGCGCGAGTCTTTGCTCTGGAAAAAGCGATGACAGAGTCCGCTAGGGGCCCAAATCGCTCGCCTCAAGGTCCATCATTTATACCCCTCGCATCTCCCCAACCCGTTCCCGCTCGAAGCGCATTGCCGAGTTCATTGTCTGTTCCTCAACTTGCATTAGCACCGGTCCCACCTCACCGCCAACAGGGTGCTAAGACACCCACAAACGGGAGTCCTGCGTCCAACTCGTCTGTCTCTCCCAATTCCTCCGGTATCTCTTCATTTCGCAGTCTTCGCAATTTCCTACCTTTCGGTTCGAAACAGCCGTCTACGCCCTCGCAGGGCGGTACAACTGGATCCAAGGGTCAATCATCGCATTTTGGCATACCGAGAAGGGCATCATATAATAATGAACGGAGGAGTATGAGCTCTCATGCTCGATTGGGCCGGGAGGAGGTCGAAACCCCGATCATTCACATAGAATCACGCCGAAGTGAGCAGGTTCCCCGGAGTAACTTCGTACGGAGCATGCCAGGGCCGAACGTCGACAAGTCTCTACCGCCACCGCCTGCTGCACCTGAACGGCCGAACACGGGTGAGTTTCATTACGTTAAGTGCCTTTCACATAGAACACATGTCTTGCTTCTATCAGTTCATTGTTTCTCGTTATTGAGGCATCACCACCATCTTGCCAAATAACTTGATCCGTTCTCTTGTCTCTCGCAAGTCTATCGAGGATGCGGTCTAAAATTCCTCGGTTCACAGGTCCCCCTGTATTAGAGTCGTCAATTATACCATTGGGCACCGATTTATCTACCATTCTCGAGTCCGAAACCTCGGGAATCTCGGGACACATACCTCCTCTTGACGAATCGCAGGATGATCCAAGGCCGTTCCCAAAATTCTCCAACCCAGCTGATTCGTCGATGCTTCGCGCACCATCCAGCTCCGGTCGTAAGTCGACTGGGCAGGAGAGCGACGGCATGGACTTGTCAACGTCTGACCTGAGAAATGAAGTCCTAGATGCACTGAAGCAAGACGGGGCAGCGAAGAACTGGAGTAATGGAGTCATCGTGGACGATCCGAACGATAGCATACCGCCTTCGACGAGACCCAGTCCTGGAGCTGAGCAATTCCTTCGGGGCAAGGAACCCAGCTTCGATCTAGAGTCATTAGATCCGGACCTAGCTGCTTTACTCAGTCCAAACAAGTTCGCGGGGTCAGAGCCGGCTCTGGTGATCGCGCCCTCGTCTGCATCCCTGCGGAGTCAGTCCCCTGAATCAAAGCTTGTTGCGTCTGGATCTTCCACACCCCTCAACGCATCAACCTCCTCGTCAACTGGGCAGCGATCGCCCACGTCAGCGGTACAGACGCTAGGCACCCACGCGCCTCGACGACCGAGCTATCACTCTCGTACCTCTGCTTCGACCGCATCCTCTTCGTCGTCTTCTCTTCCGCGCCTCGTTCGGCCTGGTGCAACCCATCTGAGCCCCGTCTTCGTGGACGATAGCCCAGGACTTGACTCGCCCTCCTATGTGCAATCAGATCCAACAATCACGAATGACCCATTGGGAAGACCGTCTTCATCCTCCGAGAACGGCTCTCGCCGTAGGCATCCTCCGTCACCCTTGCGAGAGGCTCATCCGGAGCCACCTCTCGAAAAGCAGAATACAGGAGATGGTTGGCCCTCAAGGAAGCCCCCTCCCCAGTCGAGATATACTACGCCTGCTCGCCCGTCCACTGCCCTCAGCAGCACCAGCACGTCTCGTCTTCGGCACTTCCCGATCGTCTCGGTGAGTGGCTGGGACCCCGATGGTGCTTCTCCGTCGTCGCGGGCGTCATCGGTGTTGGCAAGCTCTGCGACTAGGCGACCCCACGAGGCTCGGCCCAGCATGGATAATCTTGGACGTGCATCCGTTGACAAGGATCGCATGACGCATGTTAGGACGCGGAGGAGGAGCGCTAGCTTAGGTGGAAATTATCTACCACAGAAATCGGGGACTACTTCGATGACACGCTCTGCAACTGACTGGCTTGGCCCTCGTACTCAGAAGGCCTTCGCTGCTGCCGGTCTCCTTGGCCACGACAGAGAGGGCGGCGGTAGCTCGCAGGGCGGCAGCATGTCTCGCTATGGATCTGTGCGCAGTGCTATGAGTGATCGTGATTCGCGCTCGCAGTACGCACCTTCGCGGATGGCATTCTCAGAGGTATCAGGATCTGTATCGTCATGGGGAGGGAGGAGCGGAAGAGTTCCGACGCCTGACGGCCAGATAAGGCCCTCGGATAGTCCTACATTCACTACCCGTACGTTTTCGCCATCGACGGCTCCCACCTCTTTATCAGCAGCATCATCTGTACATCAGCAGCATCAAACTGAGGTGGAGACACTGAAGGAGAAGCATGCTATGGAGACGGAGGCTCTGCTGTCGGCCTTGGCCGATTCTCAGAGGACGACGAAGGTCTTGAGGGAAGAGAATGCGGAGCTCCGCGACCGGGTCAGCAATCTCGAATCGCGGTTGGATGAACTGTTGGAACAGTTCCGTCGCCAGCAATCAGCGCCACCTCCTCCAATTACCTCCAGTCAACATTTCCAGATGAGCAGGAATGTGTTTTCGAGGCCAGTATCTACTGAAGCTGTCTTCCACCGAGGATCAGCATCAACGTCGGGACTGTCCCCTCGAATCCGTGATCGATCGCCTAGAGAGGCTACCCGACCGACTCCCGAGGACAGAAGGGTACCACCGGCGCCATGGTCCGGGACGCATCGAAGACGATCAAGTACAACGTCCTCGGTCTTCCAGCTTCCCCCATCCAATATGTCCATGTTGCTACATGAAGAAGGTGAAGCCGCAAACGCCTCTCGGACTACGTCTTTGCATTCTGCACCTCCTTCTCCGACCCTTGTCGCGAGGATCCTAAATACCGGAAATGCGCAGTCGTCTACTAAGGCTGTGCCCCATGCGGCTGGTAACACATCCCCGACCTCGACGAGCTTCTCAATAATGCCTGGGTCTCCTGGTAGTTTGAGCTTGCGTACGGAGCATGAGCTCCACCTTGATGATCTCGCGAGTTTCCGTCTCGACTACGGTGAAGACGATGATAGCCTTTCCCAGGCAGACGAGCGATGATGCGTCCGGAGGTTGTCTTCTTTCCCATGGAATGCCGATGTTTAGTCAGATCACTTCAACGCTTTCGTCTTAATGCTGTGTGTTGCTTTTGCTGATTTACATGGTCAGCTGTTTTCTGATGCATGTGTACGGTAGTGTCTTGTGGGCAGGTTCGGTTTAAGATAGGTATTATACGGTGCATTTCACTGTCATATTGTATAGCGCACCACACGGGTGTATAGGCTGGATTTGTCTGGTATATTCGACTGCGAAGTCATTTGGCCTGGTCATACTACTAGGTACAGTCCCGCGTGCGCATGAATTGGAACGTTGGAGTATCCCGGGCACATTCCAGGGCTGACAACTTTGAAGGCAGAAACCGTCAATGTGCGGCCTCTGACCATGCGCAGAATGAGGAGGAGTTGACTAACGGTCTGGAGATGAGATCAGGATATGCTGCAGGACATGGTCGAATATTCCCCACCTGAACCTGACCTAGCATTCGAACGAACAGGTTTGCATGGGGTGGTGCAAAACGTAGGGAATGAAGAAGAGCAGTGAAAACAGTGCATAGAGGGCCGAGGATTCAACCAAGACTGCGACTATCCACGCGTATTCTGTAGCACTGCCGCCCAGTATATCCTAGACCTGCCGACGCATGCACAAAATGCGGATGCTGATGAGCACAGTCACCAGGATATCCGCAGAAAGTGTGATGACGTGGTAGGGGAGCGTAAAAGCGACGCTTGTCTGTGTCCACGTATTTGACGCGGGCCGAGATAGACGGATGAGAAAGACAATACCTATGGCTTCATAGATTCACATTAGTGGTCGGTTAAAGACAGGGTGTTTGGATCACCTAGAGTTGCTACCGCGACTGGAGCAAGCATCACGGTCATACTTATTTTGCGGTGGCCCCAGACGAGTACACAGCGCCAGATCTGGGAAACATGAGCCCATTGCCATGACGTGTCCCGTCAGACGCGCACCGTAACGGCTTCTGTGATCCGGTTCAAAACAGTGAAACAAGGTTATCGGGGATTGAGAAAATGCCCTCAACTTCTCCGTCAGCGTGGATGAGCGCGGGTCCATCGACGAATGTAGCTACCGCCGACCGAGCATTGCTGACCACTATCAAGCTTCCAAGCACGAAGAGAGCGGCTGCGTAACACATTAACAACTTCTTGGGCCCATGCCCGGTTGATTTGGGTCCAAGGCTAACCAGGCACCACGCAGATTATGTGCAGTGCATCCCTGCAGTATAATGGGCGCCGTCGTGAGTCTTAATGGAAGTGAATTGTAGATGTAAGTGGCATCAAATCTTACCGTATGCTACACAGCCGAGGAGCGTGCCTGTAAACCACATCCTCTTAGCCGTATTGTGTGACAGATCTTCGACCATAGCGGGAGGTAATTATTCTGTCGCAACACAAGGTTGATAAGAGTTCGAGGCGCTGTCACTGAGCCCAGGCTTCTATCTAGCACGGAGGATATCCATCGTACAGCTTATCCTGGGGCAGTCATGATTCAGATTCTTGACATAGCAGTAGCGATATGATGATAATGGTTTACCTAGTGTATCTGTACCTAGGATACCCCGGCTCGGAAGTGCCAGCGCTGCATGCAGGTTGAGCAATTGTCGATATCAAGATCTTAGTCTGACACGGCTTCTTACAATTACCATCCATGACATGCAGGTAGTAGTTGACTTTGCGATGGGCATTGACTTCAGAAGATTGCATTGAACCCTCACCGGACTCATAAGATGAGGAGTAAACGTATTCGGTTCTGATCCACGGTCGATCGACAGTGCGGTACTAATACTGGCAGTGGTCCGAGTTCGGCCCTGTTGGGATGCTCTCCCTTCAGTGGCAGCCCGAGACAGAGGCCGTCGTTCAGCAAAGGAGATTTATCGAACACTGATACTATACCTGGTTAGGGCCTCCCTTTACAACGTTCGCTCTTAGGCTGATTATGTCTTATTTACGAGAGACACCCGCCGAACTGAGCGCCCTGTTACAGAGTAGGTGTGCTCAATTCTGCAATTCGGCCATTCGCTCGAGCAATCGTTCGCGCTTTCGTTCGCGCCAGGAATAGCTCAAGAAGTGATGCGGGAGAAGGCCCAAGGGAGCCGAGCGTCTGCTCCCTCGAGCGGCTCGAACTTCAAAGTTTTGCAACGCCTCCTATTCACTGGCAATAAGCTCATTACATGGGGTAACGTAGTAACAAAACATATGTTTAGTGCCTGTCATCGTTATTTAATCCCCGTCCTACGGCGCAGGTCCAGTAGTACATTCCTAACCATATATTTGGGTCACACAGAGAGCTCGAGCGAGCCAAACCAGCGAGGAGGAGAAAGTCACATGATTGTTCGGCCATCTCCCGCATCACTTCTTGAGCTATTCCTGGCGCGAACGAAAGTGCGAACGATTACTCGAGCGAACGGCCGAATTGTAGAATTGAGCACACCTAGTGGCACAAGGAAGACTAGCTGGATCCGCATATACGCCTTTTGACTCTGCGCTACAGGACGTGGTTAACAACTCAAATTCAATCGTTTAATGACAATGACCGATTAAAGCGGCTGGAACTGTCCGGCGCCTGGCAATCACTGGCATGCGCGAGATCAAACTTGTCAGCTTCTATTGGGGAGGCAACGATGACGGCTCTGACGTAGGCCACCTGGACACAGGCAAGTCGGGAGAAGACGATCCTCCTCAAACCGGCACCGAAGGAAGTGCCTCTGAGGGAGACGGTTCTGGAGGGGGAGGATGATCACACGTCCTTTACGCAATAAATATCTGTGGCTTGTGACTTTCCTGCTGGGTTATTATCCCATGATTGTACAGATACCATTGTTCTCTCGCAACTGAGGCATATAGGACTGATACGAGTAACTAGAAGAACTTGTCGGAAACCCGAACAGCGTAAGACTCCCTGGGTAGTGCATGCAATGGCGAGTCATCGACGGTGTATGGAGTATGTCATCCACTCTGATATGTGAACTAGGCCTCAGCTGCTCATGAAATTTCATCGTGTAACTAGCGGTTTGTTCCCGGGTTTATTCTTCGCGCTATAGACAACGGATTTACATCTGCAGGACGCATGCTGTTACCTATCTTACCTGGACTAATTAAGTACACAACAGTTACAGTGCCTTGCATAAGAAACTGAACATCGCATTTCCGCGCGCGTTGTTTGTTCGCGCCAAATATACCCTTTTCGGGTAGGTCCGGAAGGCCTCTTGCGGGACCATTTGTTGGGCAGGGACTTGCAGATGCCCCGAGAGGGCTCGAAAGGCTTCAGAGCATGCATGAAATGTATAGTCTACAACTACATTAAGGGCTGTAAATCATTATACTCTGCCCCCAGCTGTATGCCTAGCTACGGTCTTTGCCGCACATTTGCCGATACCCGAAAAGGGTATATTTGGCGCGGACAAACAACGCGCGCGGAAATGCGATGTTCAGTTTCTTATGCAAGGCACTGTAACTGCCATAATTGCAGGAAATGTGGGCGCGAGAAAATGCCAAGGCCACCCTGATGCTGCCGATGGAAATTCCGCTTTCGCATCCGTATTGGACAAGATCTCCTGGCTTACAGAAGCGGGGAGATTATGTCCTATATCGGCAGTAGCTCGTGCACCTATATTGAGTCATGGATTGAAAACAATAGTCACCCTGTTACCAGCGTTAGGTCATCCTACTTGGCTGCGGAGCTCGCGGGATGGACTCACTGACTCCAGCAGCATCTTACATGATTGAACATCCCGTGCCAAGTGCAGCACTTATTGCACTGCCCGCAAGTATACCACCAGCTTTCCCGGTGGCTTTCAATATCGTTACTACCTTGTCGCCGCGTTCAGCGCTTGTCTGGCGCTTGGCGCCGAACTTGCCACCGAACTTCAACAGCGCTTTCGCCGGTTTCGCGTCCGTTTCCGTCTTGAAATTCTTCAGGACACTGTCTCGGAAAGTTTCATCGCAGTTCAGGATGCATGAACCATCGGTGAGCTGGACAAAGAAATCGTCCTGGTCATAAAGACTCAGGCATACGCTCTTATCTGTAGGTCAATCTAGGAATGAAAATTTCTCGTGCCGTAACACTTACCTTTGCAAACAAGCCTCTCTTCCGGGCCTTGACCAGTACTTGATCGAGGGTAGCTTGCTCGTGTACCCGGCAATGCTGCGAAGAGCGCAGCCTCAGTCTCCGACCGTGCTGTGGCTAAAATTATGTACTCACGCCATTCTGGTACAGCACTGCCCAACTGCCTCCTTTCCCCATCGCGACCTGCCTGATGACTAACCCAGCAAGGTTGTCTTTGTCAAGCTGATTCTGAAGGTGAGGGGGCAAGATTCTAGCGCTGTAATCAATGGTCTTGTCCTTGCCCACCCAGACCCAGGAGCCATTAGGGCCGAGGCAGACATGCTTCGTTGGGTGTTCGCTGTTCAGAGTCTTGATTTCCTTGGGTACATTGTAAGCTGTTGGGATGATTATGAGTTTCGGGACAGACGAAAAGAATGGATGGCATACACCACGAGGTAGGCTCTCTTGTCTTGATATCTTCTCCAAATATGAATCTCTTCTGGTCCTCGCTAACGGTCATAAACTCGATGCGTCCAACCTCCTTCTTTCGAACGCAGGATGGCAATAGGCTGGGATCTGACCTAGTAGGAGATCGCGTCGATCACACATACCCGACGGCTGCACCAGAGATTGGCAGAGCATACCAATCATATGTGGGAGTATGGCCTTCACGCTGACAAGCGATGAAATACCCTGGCTCATCGGGTCTGAAGACGAATATCACGTCGGTATCTGTGTTCATAATGACAGAACGGTTTGAATGAAGCTTACAAGCGTCAAGTGACATTGCTCGACGTTATATAGCAGCTATTTAGGCCGTGGCGATACGGGAAGAACTGCTTTTACTGCTTCCCAGAGAGAAGTCGAGACGTTCGCAGATCTTTATAGCAAAGTTTCGAGCTTTCCCAATCGAGAATGCAGATTCAGAAAGCATGGGAACAGGATGCATATAATGAGCCCCTGACGCACCGATAGCTTCAAATTGAGCGCCTAGCAGCCGCAGGTGGGCGCTCTCGTAAATGCGAGGACGTGTCTGGCTACCCAGCTCACCCGAACGCGCGAGACAAGGAGGAAAGATCTCACATCACAAAAGTCCACGCGTCTAGGACAATGTAGCTTTAAAGTCAAGAGAAGTAGTGCTGGACATGTACATACTGTTTTATTCGGGTATACGGCGGGCAGAACCCTCAGCGAAGTTGCAGTGTATTATTAGCAGTTCGAAAGCTCTTCGGGGCGATGTGCTCTCAGGGTACCTGGCACGAGACCTAGTAGGCGCTGTAGGCACCAGAAGACAAAGTTAGAAGGCAACCGCCTTTACAGAGACTTACACTTTGACTCAGAGCTCTAGCCCATCAGACGCTTCTGAGACGGTTTATTTAGACCCAGGCATTACCGCGGGGGTATTTGTGCTTACGTTTCACAGTTGCGTAGTTCCAGCTCGAGCGTTTTATGCATAGTATGCTTTGACGCGACACGGAGAGCCATGAAATGAGTTTCATATTCCTCCATACGGATGGTGGGGATACGCAAGGCAGCTCAGGTCCGAGACGCGGGACAGAGTCTTCGTTATACAAGGGTCGAGGACCGTTTAACTTGTGGAACCCGGCGTTGTTGTCACGTTCTCTTGTAGTGCTAGCGATAGGGGGCAAAAATAGACACACCTTTATCGTTCCTTCCTCCCTCCACATCCCCTCTACCAAGGCCCAAGCCCGGCATTCAACAACGAGAAGACGCAGCGGAAAGGGAAAGCCATGAGAGCTGTCCATATTATCACGAACCTCTGCCACCCAAGCATCCTGCCACGTCATCTGATGTCGTTGACACTGCGTACACGGGGCGCACCGGAAATCGTGGAAGTCCAGGACATGCTCACTCCCTCCCCCTTTCAGCTGCGCTTGTTAATGGTAAGTAATTGGAAAGAAGACGAACCTCGTACGGTGCATTACTGGCACCAGAATAACAAGATACCGAAACGCACCTCGACCTATCTATGTGCACCACAATGCTAGGCGACTTACGCTTCAACGGGCGAATCGCAGTTGACCCTTCGGGTTGACGCCACACCCGCCCCTGACTACTTCCAAAAATGGGAAACCACTTACTAGATACAGCAATGACATCGCGTCCAATGATGTCATAATGGCGGCTGACTCCCTCCGGGCCCAACACTGGGCATGACATGGCCCTCGTCAGCGCCCCACCCGGTCTAATAAAACGGGCTCTCCATAGCGGGGAGTCCTCACAATCACGACCTGCTACGAACTTCGATCTCGCTTGTATAGTCGGAATAGCGCACCTCTTTTATCTTGTAACGCACCACATAATCCATCCATCATGACCACCATCAAACCACTCGAGAGCCCGTCGCTCGACGTCCAGACGGGCACGCCCGCGCAGCAGTGGGCGAACGAGACTACTCGCGCGGCTGAGCTGTCCGCAGCCGGCACTTCTTCCTTCACCGCCCCCGCCGTCCCCGAACCGCCCGCGCACGTACCTGGAACGTCCTCTTTTACCCAGCCCACACCCACCGCCGTCACCCCCGGCACGCCAGGCCCCGACTTCCCCGGCGCGTATCCGGCCACGCAGGACCGGCGCGAGGGCCTGAACGACCCGAACCAGGTAGTGGAGAAGGCGAAGGAGTACGTACCGAGCCAGGAGGAGGTGAGCGGGACGCTGAAGAGCGCGACGGAGACGGCGAGCAGCACCCTCCAGAGTGCGACCGAGTCCGCGAGCACGACTCTACAGAGCGTCGCTGAGACGGCGAAGCAGTACCTACCTGCATCCGTTGCCTCTTACATCCGTACGTTTCCGTTTTATCCTACTCGCTGCAATCGCAGGACTTAGCGTTCGTGTGTTAGCTGGTAACAACAACACCAGAACGACTGCTGGCCCTTACGATGACTTCCACGAGACCTCGCTCCCGTCGACTGAAATCACAGGGGCGCGGCCGAGCGAGCACTCTGGCGGCGTCGGCGCGCTTCCGGGGACGATCAACGAGACCGGCGTCGCCAAAGTGCTCGACGAGCGCGAGGAGGGGGAGAAGGGTAGTACGCTGGAGGGGCTAGCAGCAGGCGCGACACAGAGCGCACGAGCAACGACGAACAACGCGAAGGAGACGACAGGGAGCGCCGTCCGTACTGCGCAGGAAACCGCAAGCAATCTCACCTCGCGTGCGCAGGAGACAGCAGGCGCGGCGGCTGCCGTGGTCGCGGGCACCGCCGCAGAGGCAGCATACAAGGCGAAGGAGACTGCAGGGAATGTAGTCGGGAGCGCGCAGGAGACCGCTACGACCGCTACCGCATCCACGCAGCCGTCAAAGTCCATCTTCAATTCGTCGCTGGAGACGGGTACGTCGCTGCCGTCGAGCGAGACCAATGGGCTAAGGCCGGGCGAGAACTCGAGCGGCGTGGGCTCCCTGCCGGGCCCAGTGGGGGAGGCAGGCGTCGCGCAGGTGCCGTATGAGCGTGCTGTAGAGGGGGTGTCGATGCCGACGAGCGAGAAGGCGGGGGCGAGAGCAGGGGAGCGCGTTGGTGGTGTGGGCGCGTTGCCTGGAGGTGCTGATGAAACCGGTGTTGCCGATGTGCCGGCTGGAGACGTGAAGTCGGGTAAGGAGATGGGTTATGGCGCTGCGGCTGGTGGCGTCGCTGCTGGAGGCGTTGCAGCTGTTGCGACGCACGATGCGTTCGAGCGCAAGCAGAGCGTGCCCAGAGCGAAGCCGGAGGATATGGTTGGTGGAGGGAAGGCAGATGGGGTGAACAGGTTGGAGACGGATCCACTGGTGAAGGGTGATGGTATCAAGGTAAGTCTACGATAGACTTGGGGCCGCTCGGTATCTAATGAGGAGGGTTTCGATAGGTCCCTCAGGATGCAGGCACTAAGGGTGAAGGAATGACGAAAGACGCGCGGGATGCGTTGAGGGGCCAGGAGAAGGTGAGCAGCACTTCACCTCGAGCTCGTGCAAGATGGAAACGGAGAGCAGGAGGCCGAGAAGAAGTTTCCCGCACCCGTCGGTCTGAACACCACGGGTCGCGTTCACGGGCTCGGACGAGATGGAGCTCGGTTGGATGATAAGGACATCGGGCGCGGGGGGGTCGACCGGGTCGAGAGCGCATATGAACACGGTACTAACGTGAGTTCCACCACCTTTCAGGTACCGAGCGCACCCCAACAGTCCGACCGGACGAAGGCCGACGGCGACGAGCCGAACTACCACCCCGCGGCGCTGCACCCGATCCCCTCCCCGTCGGAGACGGCCAGTACGAAGGCGGAGGGTAGAGACGAGCATAGCGGGCGGGACAAGGAGGAGAAGCATAAGCCTAGCTTGATGGAGAAGGTGCGCGGGGAGGCGAAGGTGCTTAGCGGGAAGATTATGAGAAAGCATGAGAAGGTGGAGGAGGGGGAGGCGTTGAAGAAGGGGGAGAGCCGGGGTGGAATTGGCTCCGCGGCGGGGACTGCTGTGCATGCTGACGGGAAGACATAAGTGGGAAGCATTGTTGGACGTTCAGCACATACGGACCGTTGAAATGTAATTGTACTTGTACGTTGCTGTGTAGGAGGGGTTGAAATGTAGCTTATACACGTGTAGTTGACGCGTCGAGACGTGGATGGATTGCGTAGTCCCGAAGGATGTAGGAGGAATCTAGCACGAAACATGATCTTCAGGCTCTGTGGTCAATAGTCGGTATATGCGCCCGGAATGTAGTTTGTCCAAATAGCCCACTGAGGAGCTAATGCATGCGCCGTGGGTGCGGGATTATGAAGCGACCGTACGCGTAAAGTGGTGGATGCCCGCCTTCATTGAACTGATGCCGAGATGGATAGAAATAGTATTTCGAGCGGCTATATGCGTGAGCTGGATCTGTGTCCTGATTAGCGACGATGGTTACCTGAGGAAAGCTACCGTACTGAGGTGGATGTAGCGGACCCTGAAGACAACATGGCGATGAAGGAACGGTCTAGCTTCGAAAGGGGCCGTCGTGGAGACGTCCCATGGTAAATGGTCGGTATATGCGCCGGACATTAGATTTTTTACAGTAGCCCACTAAGAAGCTGATATATACGCCGCCCGTACGAGACTCTAAATCGACGAGAAAGGAGCTGATGCCCGCCCTCGTCGAGGGATGCGAACAAGTTAGCGCAAGCTTCGCCGCAGCCATTAATAATTGTCCTTATAATTACCCTCTAATCGTTTCTCTCTTGTCAGAGATGCCATAGAGCGTTGAAAGAAGGCATTGCATACCGTTATGACCATTGCCTACTTCATCTTAGCCTTGACGATATACGCGTGCAAGGATGGGAGGCCCTGAAGTAGTTAACGCGTTACTGCAGCATGGTGTCCTCATCGTTGTCGACAACATTCGGGGAGAATACAGGGACGAGGGAGGAAGAGGAGAAGGGGCATTTGCGCCCGGCGCACGACGCGTCGCGTAATATTCACGCGTCACGTAACGATCACGTGGTATTTCGGTCAGTGTCGGTAACGGCAGAATGACGTCATAACGTCCATCGTAAAGGACCACTCAGAAAGTCGACCCCACTGGGAGGTCACACCGCCGAACGCGTTTGCGAACTGCAAATGCGAACGTGAGAACCACACCACGGTGCACGTGGGCGCGTGTCGATTCGTGGCTCTGTCCACCGGCCACAGACGCGTACCCCTCCTCTTATGATAAAATCTGCATAGCCTGAGGGTTTTAACGTGTAAGTTTATTGTATCAGTCTGTGAGATTGAAATTGCTGGGTAATTGTAAAAAAATGTGGTGAGTAATCAAAGCTGTCTGTCCAATTGGGGTCACATGAACCCACTGAAGCCCCTTCCGTGCCCTCCCCCTAACGGTTTCCATGGTCAATACTACTGGCATTGCATTGGAAATGTGATGCCTCCACAGATGCCCTGTATACATATAATTGGTCATTGGGCACAGACAACTTGAAATTCATGGAAATTACTCTATTCACGTCATCAATATCCCTGGTATGGTACAATAATATGTGCATAACAAACTGTATTTTATGGATTGAAAGCATAGCTGCCATTGCCTTTCTCGCTCAATAACAGTTGCGGTGTGGCGATTCCCTAGGCTCGGGTGGCGTGGCATCCCCTCACGTGCCCAGACATTCGCCGAACACGTTCAGGCCCCCTGAAAATACCCATAGAGGTCTGATACCAGATTCCAATTTTCCCCCATTTTTACCGAAACCAAAATTACTATATTGGGATGTGTTTTACCCGAAAAGTATCCGACCTCTCGCCTTAGACGTGATTTTTACCGAAACATTGGTATCCAACCTGAGGGCTTGAGGATATTTATTTATTCACAAAAAAATTCCAGTGCCTGCGGTCATACCAGATTCAGTTATGTATGGGCTTTATGAGCCTCTCTGATGTGCACTGGTGTATATGGAATCCAAGAATCTCACCACCTGATTATTGTGGCAAGTTGTGGCACTGTTGTGGCCATAATTGTTACCCAAATAGTATCCGACCTTTGCTCTGGATGCCTGTTTTTACCCGAAAATTGGTATCCAAGATTGATCCCACCGGCAGGTTCTTTACCAAAACTGTATCAGACCTGGCACCCAGTTGAGGGTGATTTTTACCAAAACTGGTATCAGACCACTATGGGTATTTTCAGGGGGCCTACACGTTCGCGAACGCGTTCGGCGGGCGAACCTCCCAGTCGCCTGGACGTTCTCGGACCACTGCATCCCCACCAGCTATATGCACAGGCCAGAAATATTAGTCGAAAATAAAAGAGACATAGCTCAGAATAAGCCAAACCAGTCATATATTTCTACCGGAAGCAATCGGTGCGACAAATAGTCCATCCACATGATTTCGAGGAGATAATCCAGATTTGGAACAGATCAAACTCTTTCGGTCGACCATGATCAAGCGCCTCCGTCTCCCGTTCAGCGTCTCCCCGCGCACCGCAGGGCGTCTACACCCCCATGTCTTTCCCCCGGCCTCTCGAAATCATCCGTTTTCCAATGCCCGGGGCCTCTCCTCGCAAGCAGTGACGATCCCCGCGCTGGACAACCTCACGCTCCCCTACGTGTGGCTGCGCGACTCGTGCCAGTGCCCCTCGTGCATCCACCCCTCCACGCGCCAGAAACTGCACCGCACGTCCGACTTGGTGGCTGCAAGGCCTGTTCCGGGCGGTGTGGCGTACCACCACGACGAGGGGGTGCTCAGGGTGAAGTGGGAGGGCGGGCACGAGAGCGCGTACGAGCGCGGGTGGCTGGAGCGGTACGCCGATCCGGGGAAGCTCGCAGCGTTCCACCGCGAGGTGGAGAGGGTCGAATGGGACGCGAAGCGTGTGAGCGAGTCCAGCGCGCTCTTCGTGCCCTATGAGGATCTGCAGAAGCCTGCCGGGCTTCTCACCGCTATCGAGCAGCTCGTCAAGTACGGGTTACTATTCGTCAGCGGCGTGCCAAATCAGGAGACGAGCCACGAAAGGTGCGAACTGACGAGGCTCGCGGAGCGTTTTGGGGAGATTAGGGAGACGTTCTACGGGCGGGTGTGGGACGTGAAGAACGTCGAGCGGAGCAAGAACATCGCGTACACGAACCTCGATTTGGGGCTGCACATGGACTTGCTGTGCGTCTCCCCTCCCTCCCTTATTTGTACGTACCTACTGACCCGCCCGCACATACGCACCAGGTACTTCCAGCACCCCCCGCGCTACCAGATCCTGCACTGCCTGCGCAACCGCGTGGCCGGCGGGAGCTCGCTCTTCCTCGACGCGATCCACGCCGCGCGCGAGCTGCGCTCTGACGACCCGGCGGCGTTCGACACGCTCGCCGCGACGCCCGTGCCGTTCCACTACATCAACGACGGGCACCACCTGCACTGCGCGCACCCGACGATCGAGCTCGCGTCGCCTTCCCTCACATCCACATCCACACCTACGTCTCGCCCCGCGACTGCGCACCCAGGACCGGACGTTGCGTTCGTCAACTACTCCCCGCCCTTCCAGGCGCCGCTCGCGCCCGCCACGCCGCCCGCCTTCTACACCGCCCTCCGCGCGTTCGCCTCCATCCTCGCAGATCCGGCAAATACGCACGAGTATACGCTGAGGGAGGGCGACGCGGTGGTGTTCGATAACCGCCGGGTGCTGCATGCGCGGAGGAGTTTTGGGGAGGGGGAGAGGTGGCTGAAGGGGTGTTACCTCGAGGCGGACTCGGTGCTGGATCGGATGAGGGTGTTGCAGGGACGGGTGGGGAAGGTGTAAGAGGGAGGGGATATTTTATTGACGAGAAGCCGGGGTGCGTGGGTGACGTGGTTCTGTATCAAATTCTAAGCAGCCCCGGCGCAACGACTCGACATGTGGCACGCGAGCCCATAGTCCGTCGCGGAAGCCTACTTGTGGCTGGGTATGGTTTGGATATACTCTTCTCCATAGAGGAAGTGACGCACTGTTCAATACGGCGCCAGGGTGTCATGAGCCAGTTGCAAGGCCTGACGCACAGCGGACTGCCCTCTGCTCGTGGTGCCGACTGTGCACCGACTAGTCAGTCCACGCTTCATAGGTCAGGACGTCACTGCAGTCTGGCTTTCCAAAGGCTATGCACGGATTCAGGAAGTGGAGGTAATATAACGACTCACCCGCAGCTCTGTGGATGCGGGATGCAGGCACGCAACACATGGTACGGACGCCTACAGGGCAGTGCACACCTCACAAGAATCAGTATATGTGCTGAGATGCAACGAGGGTAGAGATTCAGGCAGCTTGAGCTCACCTCCAAGACGCGTTCGAGCTGGGTAGAGTTACTAGAAGAAAGTAAAGAATCTACGTAGTTGACTCTCGGAGAACGCGAAGCCACGCAGGTCCCGATGGTCTCAGAGAGGGGTCCACGGGACCTCTACCTACCCGGCACGTGATGTCAACGCGACCCACGTATTTCAGCCCCAGCCGATCATTCCAGCGGCTGACACGCGACGTGCCATCCACCATCCGAGCGGTCCGGATCGCCTATGACAGTGCAGCTTTCCTATAGCACTCTCCAGTCTCTATATACCCCCACCTTATAAGCTAGCCATTCTCTACCGCTCACGTTCTCTCGCTTTCGACTTTGCTTTCAACCCTGCTTTACACTACACCGCTCTGCTATTGCTATCATCCACGCCATAATGTCCTCCTTCCTCTCCAGCATCCGCAGACAACCCAATTTCCAGACATTTAGCGACTCATGCCCTTCATGTATGATCCGCACGCAGCTCAATGACTACGATTACGAAACGTATATCATCGACTCCGCGCGGCGCCACGCGCACGAGTGCGACGCCTGCTTGGACGTCTCGAGGAAGGCAAAGCTCCAGAAGCTGATGAAGAAGGGCCTGGGAGTCAGGGTCAGTTTGAAGACTCTGCTTGCATAGCAGGGGTGCGCAACCCAGGTGAGGCTCTTGAGCTCGATGGGTCAGGGTGGATCTGTTTCTCAGAACTGCCTTCCAGAGTCTATTACTCGCACCTCAGTTATCCGGACTTTCTTGCCCCCATAGACGCTTGCACTCTGCCTTGGCTCTGAAGACCGTTTACGATATCACGAAAAAGTCCCACTACCTGTAATGAAGCCCCCGCTGTATTTATTGCATATCGTACATCGAATATCATTTCCGCATCCCTCAGTGGACGGCATTGCAAGGGCGTAGAAGAGCCCAAGAGTTTGGACATTGGTCGAGTGTCGTTTAATTTTACGACGGGGAGCAGTCGGCAGCATCACCCAAAAATCCTAAATAACGGCACGACAAGTAGTCAGCTGATGATGGCACATTTCATGGTCACTGCAATACATACACGAAGTTTCCCAGAGCCATGCATCCGTTAACTCCACTGTGCATTGGCTGCGCTGACCTTCGTCCACTGGTGATGTCCCCGGAGGAACACCTTCCCGTGGTTCTGCCAGTCGATCCACTTGAAGTCTCCATCCAGCTTGCGCGCAGCCCCCGCAGACACGAGCGTGATGTCAGGGACGGCGAACTTGTCCAGCGCATCGTCGTGGGTCAAGCCGCCCCGCGTGAGCCCCGCAGGCCCGCCCTGCGCAACACCGACCGGCGCGCCGCTCTTGTTCACGATGACGCCGCGGAGGTGGTCTTTGAATCGCGCCAGGACGTCCTCCTCGCTCAGAAGTGCGCCGGTCACGTCCGACAGTGCGTCCATGACGATCTCGGACGAACTGCACAGGGGGTACAATGTGCGTCAGGTCGCACCGGCATGGCAGTGTTGCGGTACGTACATTGGAATGGCGCCTCGGATGGTCGACCCCAGTGCGTCCCGTCTCATGATGCATCCTTGACATGCAGCTGGTCCGAAACGCATCAGAGGGACTCGTCATGAGATATATGTGGATACTCACAGTGATCGGGTCTGGCGAACACTGAGACAGCCCGATGAAGATTTCTTCCTCAGGCCTGCCGGGCTTCGTGTAGTTCAGCTTCACCGTGTACGGACTGTTGAAAGCGAACTCGTTCGTCTACGCATCACACATAAGCTCAGTATAATTGATATCCCTCATCCGACACGAGCATACCAACCTGGACGACAGCAACGAAGTGACGGAACTCCTGCAAGAGCGAATACCCTTCGGGGACGGACTCATTCGGGATCTGGTACAATGGCAAGTTTGCTAGGGGAGTGTGCTCCCGCGGCGCGGACGCCTTGAGCTTGAGTCCGTAGTATTCCCGAAGCTTGGATCGGAGGGCGATGCGTTTTGACAGGGGAATGCTCTTGTCAACCTTGACGCCCGCGACTTCCGGATACGAGTAGTCTGGAAGGGGTGTACGAGATGCAGTGAAAACCACCGCGAACGCGATCGAGCGAGGTCGCTTACATTTCGGCACCTTGGCCAGCGAATCGAGATGACGCGCTGCTGAGGAAGTCCAGTACTTGCCGTTCTCCATACTGAAGGGAGCCAACGCGGTGCTTTGGTCCAAAAGCGAGTTCTAGTAGGGTCATGAGCTGCCGCGAGGCCAAGCGGAGCGTAATGAGGACTCTTACGTAGACGGCATTGTAAGTCCCCCGAGATTGGGTGAAAGGATAGATTCTGCCGTCATTGTTGGGACTCGGATATCCATTGCCAATCTTGAGAGGGTAGCAGTCAGTACATATGCCACACAGCAGAGGACCGGAACTTACGTTGAATTACGGATAGACATACTCCCAGACGGCGAGGATTCTGTCGACATTGCAGTGATGCAGGAAGAAACTCGACAACAAGGTTGAGACACATGATAGTCACATTGGGTCAAATCCGGCCTGTACAAGGTGCAGAAATTAGTCTCGCGTCTCCTCTGCTTCAGGCGCAAAGCGTATAGCGTATATAGTCCGGATCAGCCATGTGCCCGTTTCCTCCGAGGATGTCGTGAATCTGGGCGTGTATACCTTCGAGCGAATCTGAGGTGCTCGATAAGCCTCCGTAATCTGGAGAACATCAGACCTGTATGCTTACCGGTGTTCCTGAAATCCATCTGGCGAAGGGATTGAGTGGTATGATTGGAGAATTCGCAGTCTCAACCAACGACAATAATGCGCAACCTACCATGCTTACCAAGTTGGAAATACCACGCTTCCATGGTTGCAATACTTCAAGCAAAAATGGTGGTCAACGAATGGAAGTAGAGTAATACTGGCACTCACGCCCCCGAATCGCGAAGGTACTGCTCCAGTATCCTTACCGTCCGCAGGGTTGAAATCAGTGCTGTTCTCAGGGACATTTCGCTTGTCTCCGATCCATTCCTGTTTATCCTGTGAGATTGAAGGGATGGGAGAAAAGGATCCCCGCCGGTACCTCGAATGGTAAACCATGTATTGCGGCCAAATCTATAATACAAAAGACAGTTCCCGTTCCCACGGTGTTATTTGACTTTTGCGGTAAGGCTTACTGTAAATGGCAAGCTGTGGCGTCTCGCGACTTTGACACGGCGGATGGCCTGAGGCCGGTGCTCGATGCTCAACCATCTTGCTCCTCACGCCAGACTGCGATGATTTGGGCTACAGCCCACCATGAGTGTGTCACTACAGACCCAGCGGCATATACAGCTTGCCCGTAGTTGGTAAGCAATGGTATGTCTCCTTGCATAATCCAAGGCTGGAGCCATTGTCTCGGAGTTATCTCTAATGCCGGGCCAGTCTAAGTGCAGTTCAAGCTGCAGCAGAAACATCCAGACATGTTCTTGCTATTTCTTTAGTTACAAAATTGGGAGACACCACTTAAAATCTTGCATGTCTCACATGGAGACTCCAAGGTGACCACATAGCAGCCTTGCATTCTGACACATGATACCCTCATCCTCTATTGAGAAGTACTAGGAAACTGAAGGTAGATATGGGAATAACAAGGTCCTATTAGCTGAGTCTGGGTATGGTGACTTGCCCCAGATGCCACTTTTGGTTCTCAGTCCATGGCTCAATGAGCTCTCTTATTGCTGCTCACGGCCCACTACTGTAGCACAACTTACATACACATGGGCTTTATAGAACTTGCACTGGGAATGATAGCATCCTATAGTCATGTGACAGTGACACCAAGGAAGCTGGGGGGCATGTCAGACGCTGAGATCACATGTTATGAGGCTTACTACAGGCAATGAGGAGGCCACATCGCAGACATTGCGGCTTGGCTGCAATGTGGCCCACAATTTATGCAATAGATACATAGCAGGTTACAGATAACAAAGGCATTATATCACAGCTCCTGGGCCCGATGTGGCCCTGACATCCCATATCAAGACTTTCAGAGGAGACAAGAAATAATGAGGGGTTAATAAGTAAACCACATCTTCGTGGTACACTTTCCTGGCTGTTGACTGACACTACCGTGCAGTATTGCATGGGTGGCTGCTAGTGATAGAATGAAGCTGCCTCTGGGATAGTGACATTGGCCGGCAGCAATCCAGAGGACTCGTCATCCCTGCCTTGAAGAGCAAGATAAGCAAGGATGAAGAGGGAGAACTGCCTTGGTTCCTTCGCTTGCAAGTCCTCGATGGACAGCCGATCGTAAAGACCCGTTGCCTTGCGGCCAACAATGCGGTACTGTGCATGAGTCATGCTTGCGGATAGCTGGAGGGGTAATTCGAAATCTGGTGCTGAAGCGACGGTACGACCAACGAACCGGACTTTATAAGCAAGGCGAGCGCACAAGAGATCCTTTCGGCACCCCATGTGCGCGGATCTTCAATCCAAGGCACATTAGACTGTGAATGTTATCCACCGGGGGCAGCCAGGGTCATCCCCGTTCGTACGAGCGACTACTTCGGTACCAACCTTGCTAGACGAGGGACTCTTTAGGAACGCACATCTTCAGCCGCCCTGGACTAGAAGAAGGATCATGTTCATAAAGTTTGGTCAGCGGACGCAAATGAATACAGGACTCACGAAGAGTGTTCTCCAATATGATACATCTACCAGAAGAAGGTTGGTAGTCCAAGGCAAGCATGCAGTATTATCGTGCATATTACATGCAGGCAAACATGCAATCACAAGTCGGGAAATGGCGCATTTTGATATCCTGCAGGATACTTAGGGTACTAGTACCAATCAATCACCACCGTATAAAGATATGCCAACTTACAGGGGCACTACCGGTAAGCGCCAGTCGAACTGCTGACAGTCGACGTCGGAATTTATAGCGGACCGAACCCAGGAATCAAGCACGCGGTCTGGAGCCGACAAGCCATATCACCGTTCTGTCAATCACTAGGCTTTGAATTCACAATACAATGCGGCGCTGTGAATGGATGGACAGCCTTACCCCGTCGCCTGACGGGAGGCGATTGAAGCCCGAGCGTTAATGCCAAGACCTTTCTAGTAGCGTCGTTCGGCAGCCACATCCAATGACACAAGCACATTCCCGTAAGTTACCGGCAGATGCAGAGCTAATGGGGTCCGTATGACTGCAATCCGTTGAGACGAGGTGGGTTCACACAGCCCTGCCCACTACCACGCGTGGTGGCCTCCGGTTACAAGTATACTGCAGTAACGATGTTGTTAGAATCACTCCCCTCCACAGAACTGAAACCAAGTAAGGCGAAGCGAAAGCTACTCACTCGCTTCCAGTGCAGAACGTACTGGCGTCACTAGCCAGCCAGGCAATAACACCTCTCACCTCGTCTGGCCTGCCTATCCTTCCCAATGGGTTTGCGTTGGACAGCACGTCCACAAGCTCGGGTCGCGTGTCAAAATACGCTGCGGTCATCCTGGAGTAAATAGTTCAGAGATGGGAGCGTCATGCACGGAAAGCAATTAATACAACCACCGAAGCGAGATCAGAGAGAACGGTACGTACGTCGTGTAGATATGTCCCGGAGAAACTGTGTTTACTCTGATGCCATTGACGCCGAGTTCGCAGGCCATACTGCGAGCCATCTGTAGGACAGCAGACTTGCTGGTATTGTAAGATACCCAAGCGTGGCCCTAAAGACGCTTCAGCAATCCGCCAATCCATGGCCGCGACAATCCCATACCCGGTTAGTGATACTTCCGCTCATAGATGCAATCATAATAATGCTGCCCGGTATTCCAAATTTCGACATCTGTCTGCCGGCCGCTTGGGCTGTGAAGAGCGCCCCATTCACGTTAACGTCGATAACCTGCCCATTCGTACGGTAAGAGTTGTGCGTGCGGGAAGCACCAAGCAGTGGCAGACTGCGAGTCGGGAGCGCTGTATAATGTCCACTGACCTTCTTGAATTTCTCCGCCTCATACGCCAAACAGTCGGTGTGAGGGTTCAAGATACCTGCAGCCGCAATACACACGTCCAATCGCCCTTCCTTGTCACCTATGTTCTCTGCTTTCTCCCACATCCCCTTTTGGTCGGTCACATCCGCGCTGACGTACTCCAGCCGTCCTCCTTTCTTCCCGTTACCGAGGTCCATCTTCGCGACGTAATCCCTGACCGCCTCCCAGTCGTCTCCGGGCTGTTGTGGCAGATCAAAACAATAGACGGCTCTCGCGCCAGCCTCCAGTAATGCCATTGCCATCTCGAGACCAAGTCCCCGATTCCCGCCAGTAACGATGCCTACTCTGTCGTCCAGCGAGAATTCTCTGTTTAGCAACGTCGGCTTAGGAGTAACGGACATATCTTTGGCGTGGGCGAGTGCCGCGACGACGCCTATCGGGTAAGGTGGTTCCGGCGGCTTCAAAGTAGACATCTTTGGAGATCTTCAAGGGAGCGGAATCAAGGTTGATATCGCCCGGACGTGCGCCTGCCTTTATACGCCCGCACAATGGTGATACGATAGCATGCAGGATCGTCCCTCATACCGAGGAGGAAATGGTCAGGTGACCCAAGAATAGGCAAGAGAAGCCCTAGGCAGTCCACGCCCAGGGCAGTTGGCGGGCATGTTGATATCACGAGAGCACTTCCCGGCTCCAGAGAGTCGGCTGACTTGTGGAGGAACCGAGAGCTTGAGAGCCATACCGTTTGCAAGGGAGCACTGATTGGACGATGTTGACGTCTTCTCTTCTTCTGGAACAGAATGGTTCATACATTGCCCGAGTAACCACTTCAGAGACTCTGGTCGAAATGCAGAGGACAACACCGCAACCAGGACCACGTTTCCCGACCCTGCACGCCCCTTTGTTCCGCCTGAGCTTTGACCCCACCTCCCGACGATACGAAAGATCCACGGATGGGAAGCAGGCCTAGGACGAGTTTTCCCTCATTCTTTGCAACGCGACATGTAGCAGTTCGACGTTAAGTATGTGGCCTTTAGATGCTATGGCACGGCTATACCCGAGAAGCGTACTCCGGCGTACATGCTCCGAATCAAACACACTCACTGGCGACGTATGAAGAGGAGGAGCTGTGGCGCTCAAACGTCTCATAAGTATGGGCTCTCCATATGTGAGCATGCCTACTCAGAAATTATAAATGTATCCTATTCGAGCAATAAGTCGGTTGGATTCGGTAGGCGCAAGTATACTTACGATCGCAGTGGACACTTTTTCAGTGTTGCAGCGAGGTGAAGTGGCCGAAATCCTCCACATTGGCGGCCCGGAACGATATCGGACTGGTCCGAATTGTCTTCCCACGTATGTCACGACTTCTGTTTCGCCACAAAAGCCTCCGTTCCGAGACCAGGGTTCGGGAGGATCCTCTCCTCCAAGATCAGGCGGTTGCATTTCTATCCTCCTTTCCCGTCCACTGGACGCCTCTGGAGTATGAGAGAGATGGCTTCACGGCTCCCTGGAAGCGGAGGCCTGATGGTGCCCCAGGAAATGCGGGATATCCTTGCGCAGCCGGGATTTCTGAGCATAAAGAACGGGGCACAGAAGCTGAAGAAGTTATATGCCATACGTGAGCTTTGACAGAACTGACAGTATATCATCCGATATTGAGCAGCTCCAGATTCCTCACACTTTAACCCTGGTCTGATCACCGCCTTTGGGCTGGCCTGCTACCTCGGAGACCTGGACTCGGTACAGAAGGTACGAATGCTGGGACATGGAGGGGAGGGAACGCCAGCGATTGACCGCGGATTCTTTTCTCAATACAGGACATACAAGCCGGAATCGCCCCCGAGCTGAGCGGTTGGGAGACCCCATTCCAGCTTAGCTACCCAACCCTGGTGGTGGAAGGTGCGAGCGCTCTGAAGCGAGGTACACATGAGGGGCCGAACCCTCAGCACGTTGAAGTCCTCAAGCTCCTCCTCTCGTCGGGCGCACCCCCGGACATCCCCGACATCGTCGGGCTCACCGCTCTCCATCACGCTACGATGGACGCCAACGTGCCGGCCGAGCTCGCCCGTGTCCTGCTCGAGAACGGCGCCAACGTGAATCACCGGGACCGCTACGGCGCCGTCCCGCTCCAAGGGGCCAGCCACAGCAACCACGTCGCCGCGGTAGACGTCCTCATGGAGTTCGGGGCGGACGTGAATATCAGCGACACGGATGGGGTCGTCCCGTATGAGTTTGCTTTGCAATGCGGCCCGCAAGTGACCGCGGTGGTGCAGAAGTGGCTGCGGAAGCGCGAGGGCGTGGAGGCGCCGATGGAGGAGAAGAGATGCGATAACTGCAAGGCCGATGCCTCGGGCAAGGGTGTCAAGCTGAAGATGTGTTCCGCATGCCATACGTCGTGGTACTGTTCGTCCCAGTGCCAGCGTAAGGATTTCATCATACTGAACCATAAAAGATTTAAACTGACAAGACGTCAACAGGACAACACTGGAAGACCCACAAGCCACACTGCCGCCCATTCTCAAAGTCCAACACGGTCACCCTCATCCCGAGCTACAGTAATCACGGCCACATGGCCCCCATGGCGGACCTCATGCGCGCCTTCACCGGCGTCTCACCCACCGTCCCCGAGTTCACCCCCACCCTCCCAGCAAAGCCGAAGCTCTCCTCCAAGTCCATGATCGTCAAAGTCCAAGTGCCATGGTCTCCCGGAAGCCAGAGGTCTGTCGCGCCCATTCTTATCTATAACAAGAAGCAGGACTTCAAGTGCTCCGTGCTGAGGAGCAGCGATCCTGCGGCGTACGACCGCATCCAGGACGTCGTGCGGAAGCGCGGTGTGGGGGGCGCGAAAGCGTATCTCATGGCTGAGTTGGAGAATCCTGGTAAACTCGTAGTTAAGGTCGATGAGATTCTGGCGGAGCAGCCGTTCTGATGTTCTTGGAGTGTGTTGTACTTGTCTTTGGTTCTTGTCGGGTGGTCGGTTGTTGTATGGTAGCTGTCAATCTTGTGTTCGACCTCTTGTTATTCCGTACAGCTATTATAGTGGCATTACCTCTTTTCGCATAATTTTCTAGGATCAATGGTTGTGTACTTTGCCACTGCGGGAGGCAAACCAGGCTCCTAAACCATCCGTCCTTAGCGTTCTCTCTCCTCCTTTACTGGGGCGCACGTGCAGTGTTATATAATACAAATCTATTTTTAATTTATTACCGGATACAGAACGAACAAGAGGAGGAGAACGCTATAGGACGGCTGGCACAAATGTCGTCGCCGAAATCCCCGAGGCTGACTAAGCGGACGGTGGCTGAAGCCTCTCAGCAGCGGTTGGCGGGCGATGTAGAGAGCGTCTCGACATCTACCTCGTTGAGCTCACGCAGAACACATATAAACGGGTGCTAAAATAGTTCAAGATCAATGCAAATACCTTTGGTATACTTCTGACACTCAGAGGGGCTTGTCTATAGCCATTATGCCTCTTCAGCCGGATATTCAGCCTTCGGTACTACTGATAACCATTGCATGAGTATACCATTCAGTTAGAACATTTTTACATTACTATAAAGTACACCGAGCGGTAAATCCCAAGGTAATAAGTTGTAAATGGTTGCGTGAAGGCCCGCCGACCGCTGGTGAAAGGCTTCAGCCACCGTCCGCTTAGTCAGCCTCGGGGATTTCGGCGGCGACATTTGTGCCAGCCCAGGCTCCTAAACCACCCGTCCTTAGCGTTCGCGCTCCTCTAATTACACCTAGACGTCCCACACTACAGGGCTTATAAGCCTTAGCAAAGCACCTGCCGGTCGAGCCTAGTTAGCCGTAAAGTTGCTTTCCCCCTAGACCGGCGGTCGTACCGGGAGTCAGGTTGGCCTTAGCGGGTCGATAGAATCCACGTAGTTATCTAGACCTTCGGCAACCAGATACCGCCGGTAGGTTCAACTTCCCACATGCGCGAAGTTAATCAACAGCGCCATCAACGCGCCGCCCGCCGCCGGGTTCGCCCTCCTTGTTCGGACAGCTCCTCCACCGCGTTCGTGCGCGCCGTCTTCTTCCAGCTGTCTTCCCGTCCTCGCAGCTCAGTCATCGCACTCGTGCCCGTCTGTGCGCCGCTGCGTTTGCATCCCAGCCCTCTCTTTCCAACTCCGCCCGCCGCG